GCAGGGTTTGGTGCTCAGCTGATCACTGCCGTTCAGCTGGCTGAAAGGAGGATATTAGTTCTGGATAGAGTATAATGACAGGACAAAAAGGGTTTCTTTTTTAAACAACTTTGGTATAATTACGGCTCTAACTAGGTTGCTCTGTCAGCTAAACGCACGTTTTATAGATTTACTACAGTTAATTATTAATCAATTACTAAATTAGTTTATGATTATATCAATAATCAATTAATCACGAATAATCCAATTAATTTTTTCAGCACTAGATACCACACTTTTCATTAGCTGTAAGACAAACAATTTTGACTTTCTGGCAACATTTTTGGTTATAAACATTACAAAACAAGAAAAAAAAAATAATGATTTGTAAAAGATTTAAGTAAAAAGATCAAGGGAATAAAACTTCATATCAAATCTAATTTGAAGAGCTCCTGTACTCTTAGTATCACTTCTAGTTTGTCAATAAGCAGAAAAAAAATAAAACTTTTTTATAAAAAAATTTTTTTATGAATAACCATATTATTTTTTGGATTTATCCTTTTTGTTTGTTTTGTTTTCAGTTTTCCTCACAAGCCAAATGTTAAAAAAAAGAAACTGTTCAGCATTGGTCAAGTTAAAGTCAAAAGAGCAAAAACAAACACCTTTATGTCTAGTTTGATGTATTCTGCTATGCTGTAAAAAAAAAAAAATTGACAAATTGATCAAATTAATTATGAGGTATTCCTCAAGCATACTTCGATAGTAACACACCCAAGGTGTACCATTTTTGGTTAAATTATGATTTTTTTTTTTTTCTTGGTGTGTTAGAAGCACAATATCAAAACACGGAACAGAACTGGATTACAAATTGTATATTTTATGCTCTTAAAAAAATTAAATCTTCTGGGAAAAAAAAAACACCTATACAGCCTATTTGCAAAAACAAGATCAGAACTTTAAACATATTTAAAACTTATTCAAGTAGACTTACATTTATCATTACATTTTAACCCTAGAAACTGTTCAAAGTTCCAAAACTGAATTGTTTACCTTATGCATGCAGGTATATTTACTCAGACATGAATAATAATTTTTGAAAAAGCTGAAACTGATTATGCAACAACTTCCTTAAAGGGGGATTAGAAATGGCTTTTTGTGCCAATGAAGGTACTGGTTTAATCTATAGTTGCAATGGATATCTGTTGAGCGATGACTTACAGTAAACTCCATCCAAGCTTAAAGCTCGACGTGCTAACAAGCAGGTATCAGGTTTTTTGATTCCCAGTGTAACTCTAGAGCATCCATTCTTAACCTGCTTCTCAGGTCAGATTTATCTCTGCCTCAGAACAATGATAGTTTTACCGCCTCCCATAAAGCACTCCAGAAACGTTTTAACCATCAATGAAATTGAAGTAGTGGCAGAAGGGAAACACCATTAGGATGTAGAACACCAAGTCCTGAGCTCAGGGATGAGAAGTTCTGATCTAGAAAAGCCAGATTGGAAAAAGTTGTTCTAATATTCTGAAATATAAGGCATTCGTATCTATAATTATGAATTATATGACATTTAATTGAGTTCAGTGGGTGATTATTTTCTATCTATAATTTCAAACCAACAATAAATACAATTTACAGAAATACAACTAATTTCTTACATGAATAATAGTTGTTGCACTAAAGCTGTAAGGTCATATAATACTTTATCTTTTGATGTATAAAAAAAAATTATATAACAAGAATTTTTTGTGTATGATGTAACATAAGCAGTTCCCTGTTTAATAGAACATAAAATGGTGATTTAGGGGGATTTCTCCAGCTATTTGCTCTGTTAGAGGCTGTGTTTGGCTCCTTCACATGAACCCAGCTCAAAGTTTGCTAAATGTATTATAAACAAAACAAATGCCACAATAGCAGTGATACCATACTTCAATTTCTATGCAAAGACTGGCTTTTGAGATGTTAGAAATATTTCCCTATGATCAAATTGAACCTCCTAGGTGACAGAGAGCACAGTGGAACAGATGGCGGAGTTGCCAAGAAATTGTGGTAATTTTATGAAAATCACTTAAAAACCAAGATAATAGTCTTTAAAGTTCAGATTTAGATCTATTCAGGTCCAACAGAACCATCCAGGCATGGGTAACCAACTATGGGTAAAAAAAAAAAACATACCTTTACAGTTCTGATGCAGTGGTTTGCACAAAGCTACAGTCTGAGCCCAAATAAATTAAGCTTTAAACCTTGTTTTGCAACGTTTAGAGATGAAGCCCAGCAGGATTTCTATCTTTAAACTGTCTTGTTTGCTTTTGCTTGCAGGGGTTGTCAGGTCACCGACCTAGGACTGCAGCCCTATAGACCCCTAAACTGCCTGGCCAATCTTGGATTAAAAGAAACTGTTGTGCAGCAACACTGACCAGGTCACAAAGAGGGCAAACACAGCTGGACCGCAAAGAGGTTTAAAAATACAACCTGGAATCGCTCCGTTTCTGTTAGGCCTCAGGGTTAAATTTAAATACCACTCAGTCTGAGAAGCAAAGAAAGGGATTATAGTGAAGAAAATTAAGAATCTAAGACAAAGAAAAGTGTGAAAACAAGCAAATTTACAACATGTGCACAGAGTACCATTGCTCTCCTCCTTTCCACATGAACTCAATCGATTTTTCTTAACTGCTGACAAGAACTTACTGATGATTTAATCATCGCTCTGATTAACATCCACCATTTCCCACTCATGAGCCACCCATTTCCACACTGACACACACAGATCACTCAGTCAGTCATGTGACTGTTACTGATTGTTCCTCTTGTTGTCTTGTCTGACCTTTCCTCCTCCTTCCTAAACCTGACTGCACCGTTCCTTAGAAAAACAATGCATCTTGTATCATTTTCCTTTTAACAAATACACCAATCAAGTGGGATTTAGAGTCACACATGTTTTCACTGATTTATTTCTCTTATTCATAAATGGTATCAAATCCAGTAGCCTACAAGATTTTCAACCAAATAAATATTGATGTTGAATTTGCAAAAAAACATATCAAGTTGAGGACAAACATCGGGGAAAATGATTGCTACAATCCTTAAATTTTTTCCATAGTGAACATTTTTTAAAGATTAAATTACAATAATCTGACATAAATGGCAATTTATATGAATTACTAAATGTATTGGTAATTATTAAATTCAAGGTGTCTCCACTATGGAGACACTAGTAGATTGCTTGCATGCAGGGACATTTTGGCCTATACGTTTACACCAAACGTTACCAAAACAGGATGAATCTGGTTCTTCAGCTCTGTATAGAAAAATTTAAACAGCACTTCATTCATGCACATTCTCGCAACCATGTCTTCTTTCGCTAAGAATAAGTAAATGTCTTGTTGGCTTTTTATATCTTGGATTTTTGTATAGAACCGCTGTTTAAGGATGGCCCTAATCGAGGTCAGGCATCGTGCTTTTAGAGTTTCCCTCCCTCTGCACGCCTGGATTAAACGGTTAAACTTCCTCACTAACAGCAGTAAAGCTCTTGAGCTCATATAGGTGAAGCAGTGACATCTAAAAGTTTCAGGACTCCAGCCTTAAAGGGCAGAAGTTTTAGACCACTACCCATCGTCAGATCCATTCCATATAAAAGCTAAATCTACTGGTATTACATGTTTAAAAGAAGACCCACACCATAATGCTCTCACCTCCAAACTTGACTGTTGGCACGGGGTAATTTGGGGGACGCACAAAGCCATGACTCATTCAAAGATGATGTAAGCAATAGGATCCAAAGAGAGAAGCTTTGGTCTAATCTGATCAGACTATAATGACAGTATTTTTAAAGGCTTTTCCAAATCTTATCCATCCACCACAGAACAAGTTTCAACATGTTTGGGTTTTTCTTTTTAAACAGGGAAGTTTTCTGCAGTGAATATTGCGGTGGAGGGCATAGCCTATGTTTTGTTGATAAGTAATGCATCTGCTACTGCTGAGGCTTTCTAAAAGAGAGTCTTAAAGAAATATTAGTTTTAATCTTCAACAAGTAATCAAGCCGTCATTTCTGGTTTATGGTTAAATTATTTGCACTTTTGGATTATAGCCCTAACAGAACTCAATGGAAGATTCTTTATTTTTTTTTTATGTCTGAATCCTAGTGAGAATGCGGGATAAAATCTAAAATAAATACAGATTTCATGTGGTTTATTGCCTTGCTATGATTTCTGAGCTTATTTTATTTCTCTCGTCAAAACATTACTGTTATTTTTTAAGACATATATATAGAGATCCACGCATTTGGATTTCTTCACGAGTGGATTACTTTGGTTTGTGCAATTTACTTGATTTCTAGGCTGTATGTTCTGATGCATAGCTAGGAAATGACCTGTATCAAGGATATTGCAGCATATCTTGTTTGGGGACACCTCTATTTTTCCCTCCATTACCTCATCAAGATCTTAACACCCACCTGGATCCTCAGCTGAATCTTTTCTCTGCCAGCAGGAGAACCAGCACATGACACACCCTTTCTTAACAAAAAATGGCTTCATCTTGGCTTCTACTCAGTATTAAAAAAGTTAAATTAACTTTAGAGATGCGAGAAAAGTTATAATCTGAGGCTTTCCTTTAGTGCAAAGTTTTAGGAGATGAAACAACTAGACTATAGGTAGAGTCCATTCCCTGAGAGTGTCCCTAAGGAGGATCAAGCAGGCATATGCATGGGAAACTTGGAAGCAATCAAAAGTGTGAGAGAATCATGTTGTCAGGAAAGTATTTCCAGCTGGGTACTAGGAAGGAAACAATAGACTTTATTGTCAGAGATCTTAAATTACCTAATGGATGATTCAGAACACAAAGAAGACCACTGACCTTAACTGGAGAGCTTCTCTTTAAAAAATAAGAGCTGCTGTATCAGATATATAAACTTCTATTGCATATATATAATTTCAAAAGGTTGCGCGTAAAAGTTTGTGTAAATATACAGACTTTTACGCGCAACCTTTTGCGTCACAGCGTAGAAAAACTAAAGCAAACCTTACCTTTGAAAAAACTTTTAGAAGATCCGGTTTGTTTCACTCACTTTCCATTTGAAACGTCTACCTGATGCGTCATGTCTCTCCAACTCCAAACTTTTTTTTTTGTTAATTAGCCTACTGTCCGTATAAAAACTCCAGGTGAATCATTTCCGTGAAAAGCTTCAGTGCGCTTCATGAAACTCCCGGATTTAATCTGCTCCACTCTGTCAGAGAAGGGGCAGGAAAAGCTGCCCCGCTGTCAGGGGCTCTGTCTGACTGTCTGTCTGTCTGTGGACGCTCTGATGAAGCCAGGACGAGCAGAGAGGAGTGGAATGAAGAAAATACTAAAGAGCTGGAAATCCCACCTGGAGGAGGCAGGGCTCAGGTAGGACAGCAACCCGCAGTGCGCGCAATGAGGACATCTAGCGGCGAAGATGTAAAACAGCGACTAGATTAAGCCCAAAAAAACAAAAACATTTTGAATTTTCTTTTATTATTAGGGTGTTATTTTTATTGAATAATTTAAATATTATATTATGAATATCAATTTTCCAACTTAGGGCCACTGAAATAATAAAAAAAAATGTAACTGATTTTTTAATTTTATTTTGTATAATATGGAGGAAAAAAGCCAGAATTTTGAGAATAAAGACAGAATTCTGAATTTTTTCCCATATTATACTGAAATAACATTAAAAAATCAGTTAACTTTTTTTTCAGTGGCCCTAATCCTCTTCTGTACATATGATGAATCGAAGTTAGAATTTTTTTTATCTATAAAATATTTTTTAATGAGTTGAAAAGAAACAAAATATCAAATTGCTGGTATTTTACCAGACATGTTCAGCTCTTGCAGCAAGAAGGTTGCGGGTTTGATTCTTTCTTTCTTTCTGCATGGGGTTTGTATGTTCTCCCTGTGCATGTGTGGGTTTTCTCCAGGTACTCCAGCTTCCTTCCACAGTCCAAAAACATGACTGTTGAGTTAATTGGCTTCTCTAAATTCTCCTTAGGTGTTAGTGTGTCCGTGAATGGTTGTTTGTCCTGTTGTTTGACCCCACTTGGGATTAAGCATGTCAGAAAATGAATGGATGTTGAGCTCTACTATGATTCAGATAAGCAAACTCTATTCAGGATTGAATTGCTTAAATATAGAACTTGATTATATAAAAACAATTTAACAATTTATCATCTTAAAAGTATATATATATATATATATAGCTTGTTTTGCATTTTAGTGACGAATATTCATCATTTACGTAAAAATTTTTCACATTTTGTCACGTTAAAAGCACTAACTCTGCGGCTATTTATATAATAACTCAAAGTGATGTATCTGTAAAGTGGAGGCAAAGTGATACATGTTTTTTTACATTTCAAGAATCAAGCATCCCCTCACCATAATACTACTACCGCCATGTTTCTTAGAACATTTTCTTTAATATTTCAGTAGTCCCCTACATAATTAGTCTTAGGCTGGAGTGAGAATACTTCCAGAGAAATCCAAATTGTGACAAAAGGCCGGGTTAGAAGTTCAATGGTGTTAATAATTTTGTAAGGCACTATTTAACTCACAGGGACTTTTGAGTCTACAGTATCTCATTTATGCTTCTCATGTATGGATGTAATTCTTCTCTGTGTCCAGTTAACACTAATTTCCATTTGTCTGTGAAGCTTGATAGACAGTATGCAAAACTGCAGAAACAAATGTGTTCATCAATCATGCAAACTCTACTTGTACAGTGACGCTGGTTGCACTTCCTTACTAATGTTGCAACGTTTTCCTGCATGATTTATGCTTAAAAGTTGAGGGAATAAGTTGCTTTCCACTAGAATAATCGCTGGAAAACTAAAGCACACAAACATGAGCTGTTGATGTGTTTAAATATAGACTCTTATGCCCTGCATTAGGTGGTGCATCCTGGGCATGTAGACTAGTCTGCTCCCAACACGGACGCAGTTTGTGATCCCATGAGATAGTCTAAGATAGAGTTTCCCCTTCATGCCTCCTGCGTTATTAATAAACACAAAGTTAAACAGTGTTTTCCTGAGGACATACAAACAGCAAAGAACTACTTTGAGGTGCAAACCAAGCTGTGCTTTAAGACTGAAACACTGGGGCTGTCATCTCCAAAACAGTGAGTAGGCCATGTTTGATTTGAGTTGTTAATCATCTCCTTGAAAGCCAGCAGCAGCTGCAGTAGGAATCGTTAATTAGCCTAAATTGGCTTTTTAAGAAGTGATTAGATTATTAAAACCAATCTGTTATTTAAGGTTGCTTATTCGCTGATTAATGAGTTTAAAGTTGTTTTTTTGTTTCAGTTTGTTATGAACAGAAAACAACAAGTGGAAGATGGTAACAACAATAAATCTACTGAGGAATTACACAGTGATGAAGTTTCAACACAGCATGCACAGACCGACTCTGAAACAGAGGCTGTTTTCAACCCGTATGACCCAACATGGCTGAATACAGTGAAGATTAACCAGATGGGGATGAAAGCTCTGGGGGAACTTTTTGAGTACTGGATCCAACAAGTGTCAGGTCTGGAGAGGGAGAGGGACGAGCTGATCCAGGAGCTTCTGAGTCTGCAGGACCCTAGGCTGCAGGTTGTGGAGCACCTTAGAGGAAAGCAAAGGGAGGCAAAGAGGCTCCTCAGTCAGGCTCAGCTGGATTATGCTGCTGTTCATAAGGAAGTGCAGCAGGTGAAGAGGAAACTATTCAGCACAGCCAGAGACTGCATCCAGAGTCAGGTGATGCTGGCTGCGCAGGAGTACGAAGTGGCTCAGTGTGCTATTACACAGGCATGTACACACTTCTTTCTGCCCCTGAAATGTTTTTTCTGATTCTCAACTCTTTAATTCTTTCATCTTTGTGTGCATAGTTATGTCTGTCTTTGGTAGATAAAGCTAACAAATGTTATAGAGTTCTTAAATTTCACAAGAAAAGATTAAATACATAAATAAATAAAATATGTATATTTATATATATATACCGGTATATATATATATATATATATATATATATATCGCCTTTGGAGCGCAAACTCCTTATGTCAGGTTAGCCGGAATATTGTAGAAAATCTAAATGCAGAGACGGAAGCAGAGAATTTTATTACTTGTAGGTTTAATCACGTTGGTGGCAACAGAAGGATGAATCCAGACTGAACATGCAGGGAACTTAGGGACAAAAATGAGGAGGAACATAAAAATGAGGAGGAACATAAATAAAGGAACATAAATAAAAATAAAGAGAATCCAGCAATGATGAACTGCAAAGAATGAGTATATATGGGAGATAGGAAAAAGAGTGGAGGAATCAGTTAATTGGGAGCAGGTGTGAATAGAAACAGAATTAAGAAACTAATCACTACAAAATAAGGAATTACCAAGGGAAACCCCAGATGATAAAAGAGGGGACTAGAAATAACTCAATCCATGGAAAACATAAAGATAAGAGAAAAAATAACTTACTAAAACTAGACCAAATAATAAATAATACCAAAAAAACAGATAAGCGTTTTTGTAAAGTCAATAATTAAAAAAATGATACAAATCTTGAATAATTATAAATTATGAATGTTTTGCTTTTCAATCAAGATATCACTCTTTACATACAAATACGTTTTACTGAATGTTACTGTTACGCCCCCCAAGGTCCAGAAATCCCAATATTTGATTTTTTTTAAAACTATTCATTAGTTTGATACAGCTGCAAATAAGTATTTGAACGCCTGTCTATCAGCTAGAATTCTGACCCTCAAAGACCTGTTAGTCTGTCTTCAAAATGTCCACCTGCACTCCATTTATTATCCTAAATTAGATGCACCTGTGTGAGGGTTACTGTTTGTAGTACATTAAGATGTCATGCTTTGAAATCATGCATGCAACAGAATGTTCCTCTGCTTAAACCAGCACATGTCAAGGCCAATCTTAGGTTTGCCAATGACCATTTGGATGATCCAGAGGAGTCATTGGAGAAAGTCATTTGGTCAGATTAGACCAAAATAAAACTTTTTGATCATAATTCTACTAACTGTGTTTGGATGAAGAAGAATGATGAGCACCATCCCAAGAACACCATCCTTACTGTGAAGCATGGGGGTGGTAGCATCATGCTTTGGGTGTGTTTTTCTGCACATAGGACAGGGCGACTGCACTGTATGAAGGAGAGGATGACCGTGGCCATGTATTGCAAGATTTTGTGGAACAACCTCCTTTCTTCAGTTAGAGCATTTATGATGGGTGGAGGCTGGGTCTTCCAACATGACAATGACCCGAAGCACACAGCCAGGATAACCAAGGAGTGGCTCTATGAGAAGCATATCAAGGTTCTGGTGTGGCCTAGACAGTCTCCAGACCTAAACCCAATAGAGCGTATTTGGAGGGAGCTCATACTCCCTGTTTCTCAGCGATAGCTCAGGAAACTGGCTGATCTAGAGTAGATCTGTGTGGAGGAGTGACCCAAAATCCCTCCTTCAGGGTGTGCAAACCTGGTGAAAGACTACAGGAAATGTTTGACCTCTGCAATTGCAAACAAAGGCTATTGTACCAAATATTAACTTTGATTTTCTTTGTTGTCCAAATACTTATTTGCAGCTGTATCATACAAGTAGATAGTTTTAAAAAAAAAATCATACATTGTGATTTCTGTTTTTTTTTTTTTTTTTCAACACAATGTCTTTCACAGTGGACATAACAATTTCAGACCCCTCCATGATTTCTAAGTGGGAGAGCTTGCAAGATAGCAAATGCTTCCCTCACTGTAGCTGCTACAGACATACCCCCTGAAGACTTTCAGCCTCTATAGTTTTACAAAGTATTAAATCTCATAGTTGTTTATGGGAAACAAGGGGTATGAATACTTCTAAAACACTGCTAATACATTTTCCCCTCAATACTTAATAAATATCTTCTAAATACTTAATAAATATCCTCTATTTATTGATAGGAGGACCTCAAGGCCAGTCTCCATGTTCTGACCCATGAGTTTCGCCAGCTGCAGGATAACCACCAGAATCAGCTGAACTATCTCAGAAATCAGGCCTCAAAGCCGTGCAGGTTGAGGGCCATGAGTGATGTCAGCCAGTGTCGACAGGCCTCCATCAGGCTGCAGCGGAGGCTCAGTGGAAGCATGATGGCACTGGAGGGCTGGTACAAACCCCGGATGGTGGCCCTGCTGAGGAGAAGGCAGGCCGCCGAGGAAGCATTGAGAAAATCCAAAGACCAGGCTTTGGACCTAAGAGATAGGGTAGCCCCTTTAAGAGAAGACGTAAAGAGGCTAGAGATGCAGAAATCCTGTCTGGAGAAAAAGATTACTCTTATGACGACAGAGAGGGAGGAGAGAACGGCACATCACACGGTAGGACTTGTCTGTACAGGGATGACGATTGGATGCAGTATGTCCCAGACTGATGGTATGGTTTGTGCAGGAGACTGTGGAAAAACTACAAGACACACTGAAAGAATTAAAAGTGGAGTTTGAGGTCCAAAAGAACTATAGAAATAATTTGGAGGAGCTCATAGAGGGCCTGAAAACAGAGCTCATGTTTTTAAGGTAAATTTTTTTCTAGGTTTTTTGGCTTCCTCTGATGACCTAGAAGATAAATAAGTGAAAAACATTTTATTTTGCAGAGGCAGAGATGAACCACGTAACATCTCTGAAGAGGGAGAACAATTATCTGTCTCCAGAGGGTGAGAGCAGAGCAAACAGTACATCCCACTACAGCATCTGCAGTGCAAGGTTTACAGCATGGCCTCTGTTATCCAGCTATTTGGGTCTTTTTTAGATGTTTCCTAAATCAGTTAAACCTTTCCAGGATCACCGAACACACACAAAAGAATAAATCTACCTTCCGGCTTAGCTCCATTATTTCAATCACTTTACTTGTTTCTCAAACAGTGAAAAAAGAATCAGTATGATTCTGTCACCACCATGCTAAACTCTTGACTTTAGATTTGTAAATATCACATTAAATGTCCCCATAAATTCATACCTCTGTGCAAAAACTGCAAGCTTTTCTTCAGCCATTCAAATTTCCGCCTGGCTGGCAGGATTTTTTTAAATGGCACCTCCTGAGTCCACGGTGATGTGAAAATAGCATTACTGTGGACAGTGATACTGGTGTTCCAGTGGTTTCCAGTTTAAAAGTTTGGAGAATTTAGTGGTTCTGTTTTACATTCAGAATCATATCCATTACTCTGGTTACATTTTGGGAAAAATTGTCAAAACTTGGTCAAAACCAGTTTTGCAGGTTAACTGGACTAACATGCTTTTCACTTGTCCTTGACCTGAACATTGAAAATCTCAATCTTAATGGGCTCCACAGGTTTTGCAGAAAATATCCAGCCTCATGCCAGGACTTTATTGAAGGCAGCAAATGGGGTTTCTATGCACAACAAAAACCTAACCTATTCTAGTATACAAAACTTCAGAAATAGGAAAAATAAAGTATTTATAATGAACTGTTTCACCCATCTCCTACAATTCAGAGCAATGGTTTACCATTTTATTATCATGGATCCATATTATATTCATACACGTGTATATTAACTTCTAAAAAGATGGCAGCTCACTCTGAAAAGCAGGAGACAACTTTTCTGTAAATATTTTTATTATGAATATACTTAGATACACAAAAGTTCAGATGCAGCACAGGGGAACAAAATGCGGAAGAAACAAAAACACGAACAAGTGACAACACACAAGCTGGAAAATTCACCTACAAATATCAAGCAAACAAAAATGGAAAACCAACAGTATGTACAATTGTATTAAAAGTGGATCATTGTGATCATTTTTCTGCTCAGCTAACAAGAAGAAAGGAAACTGATAACAGCAGACATACGATGGTTTCATCACAAACCACGGATGATTTTGAGAAAACAAAACAAACCTAAATGGTATTTTAAAATCAGAACGAAGTGGGTGTCACTTGAAATATGTCAAAACACCTGATGGTGCAAAACTTTTTTTAAACACTTTTCTCCTAGATGCATTTCACAAGGTCTCACTGCTAATGAAAGCAGATGTGAGAAAGTGATCCGTTTCTAACAAGCAGGTCAAAAGAAGCCCGGTCTCAGCTGGACTCATGCCTGGACCTCCGAGTCTGCAGCTCCCTCTGGGTCCTCATCATTGTAGATGTTCTCAGCCTGTGTGGGACAGAATTTACAGATTTAGACTTTTACTTTTTATAAATTAAATAAGCTTCATTCCTCAGTTGGAACAGTGCAGTCCTCTAATAGAATAAACAAAAGCATCTCTGCTTTTAGCAAACAAACCTCAGGTAATTAGCAGAAAAAAAAAAACAAGAGACATCTATATCATGCTGATATGTGCTAGTTGGGATTGAAACGAGCATAAATGCATAAACAACATTTACTGTAGTCAAGCCCAGGGTCGAGGATCAATTAAAATCTCAAGAATCAATTCAAGTCTCAATATTTAGATTAAATTTCCCATCTTAAATTGGATTTTTGGTATTAAAACAAATTTTTTCACCTTTAGCCATGACTTGAATGACATGACTGTTGTTACTAGAATTATAATAAACATTCAACAAAGTAATTATAGGTGGCCATTAGGACAGTGGAACATAAAAAAAAATGAAAGATGTTTTTTGGTTAGAAAAATTGATCTTGAGGAATCAATGACAAAGTCAAAATTTGAAAGTTTTTGTTATTTTAACCACACCCATAATCCAGCCAGTCTCTTAGTGTCGGAAAAATCATACGTTTAAAATTAAGTTAATTTTTTTTTTTTGGATATTCCATACGTGGAAAACATCAACCTAATTCCAACTTTCTTCAGATTGTCTAGGAACCCTGTATAACTCACAGGATGCAACAGGTTCAACAGTGAGCTCTTACCATCTGCCACACTTGCATGATGTTGTCCTCCGACACTGAACATATGACCCACGGCTCGTTGGGGTTCCAGGAAAAGTCAGAGATCTTAGCCGTGTGTCCGCCATGGATGAACTAAGAAGCAGAGCAGGAAGAATGAGGAAACTGCAGACTGAACAGCTGAAAAGAGGAGCAGGGTTTAAGACAAGCACTCACCAGCAGCTCGGGAGGACCATCCTCAGCATCCTCTGGCGACTGCTCCTCTCCGATCTTACTCAGGTCCCAGACGTTGAGTCGCCTGTCGGTGCCGCTGGAGGCAAGGATCGTTTCGTTATGGGGAGACCACTGAACCTGTGAGAGGAAATCAGAGGGGACACATTTACTACAAAAGTAGTTTCTTATACGAAAACAAATATTTATACTTTCACGGGTTACTATAGATAATAGATGAAAGTTTTTATCCATAAACATTTCTGTTCTGCTGCTTTCCACCAACCAATGGAGAGAAGCAGAAGCTTCCAGCAAATTAGATTAGATGGATTATTATCCGTTTATTACAGTTTGCTGAAGATTTAGTAGACATTAGCAAATATAAAAAAAATTTTAATCGTACCCTCTTAATTAAAGCTTGCTACTTTAAACCTCAACGTTTATGCTGGATATTGTTTTTACTGATCATTTACCACCAAAGTTTAGTTCATTCTTGTTGCCTCACTTAGCAAAATGTAATGAAATTGTAATTGAATTAGTCAGTACCGGCTAATATTCTAGTGAACCTCCAAATACTAATGATAGGTAGAAACCCTGCATGTGTTTCTGGTTATGATATGTTTTTACTTTGCTGGGTTTATCTGTTGCCCTATTTTTTAAAATGCAAAATAAAATAATCTAAATCTTAAATTTAGGACTTGCCTGGAAGATCTCGTCCTTATGAGATTCAAAAGAGTGGAGTTTCAGCTTCAGGTTCCTCAGGTCCCAAAGAGCCACAGTCTGACGAGTGGAAAAGAAAAATTGATTAATGTGAGACAAAACTACAAGAGAATTAATGAGTTTTCCAGAATCGTGTCCCACCTTGTCAGCAGAGCCGGTGGCCAGAATGAACTCGCTGTAAGGGTTGAAAGACAAGCAGTTGACTTCAGCAGTGTGGGCGTCCACCGCATGGCTCGGTTTGGAGGTGTTGTTCGACCGTGTGTCCCAGCTTTAAAAACAAAAAGGAATAGCTGTTAAAGCAGCAGGTCACAATTACTGTTTTTTTTTTTTGTTCTCTGAGAGTTACACACATCATGAGTTTCTGGTCATCTGCCACTGATCCAAAGAGAGATTCATGGAGCAGGTGCCAGGAGACGTCCTCCACAACAGCAGTGTGGCCTGTGAAGATTGTTTTGGCATCCACGATCTTCCCCTCCTTTGGCACTGTGCTGATATCCCAGAGGCATATAGTCTAAAGGAGAAAAAGTTATAAATAATAAGCTTAAATCACAAAAACTATTGCATTATCATTATAATCAATTTGTATTAAAAACAGATTAATAAACTTGCAAAAGATTCAAACAGGGCTCTTACGTGATCATCAGAAGCACTAAGGAGGCATCCGCTGAGGTTTGGGTTCCAGGAGAGGCCATAGCCCTCCTTCTGGTGGCCCCTGAGACGCAGATCTGGGGTGCATTCTCCAGAGGGATCTTTTATTTGAGAAGATAAAGTAATGTTCAGAGAGTCTGCAAATGTTCAGAGCCATGAGGCGGTTAAGCAAAGTGTGTCAGGAGTGGCCTTACCAGGTTTGGAGGGGTGTTTTGTGTAATCAAAGACCAGCACATCGCTGGTTGGGGTTTTTGTGGCAATAATACAGGGGTTCTGGGGCATATAACGAGCTCTATTCACTTCTCCTTCATGATTGATCTTTATTTCAATCTCTATTTTTCCACTAACAGAGCCAAAGCCTCCAAACTCTGAAACAAATAACAACAGAAATACTTAAAACCAAATTCAGGTGGGTGGAGTAAATTTATGTTTTGATGCATTTCACCAGACTACACCTCACCTCCTTTCTCGCTGTCATAGTGTGAGGCATCAAACTGGGCATCGTCATTTGGAAGCTGAACACTGGCGATTACAAGGTGATTCTGCTCATCAGAAGTGTGTGTCCCCAAAACCAGTCTATGCACACTGTAGTCCTTTCCCTCTGGTCTGTGGAGAGTAAAAAAAATAAATAACTCATACAAGGACTGGGAAGAGATGGTTTAATGTATAAATAGGGGTAAGTGTAATTTCTTGCCAAGACTACTACCTCTTAAAATGCATCTAATATTTTCAGATTCTTTCAGCACTGATGTGTTAGAATATTTTATACAGGATTGTTTAATGTTTTGCAATAAAAATTAACAATGCAAAGTCTATGACACTTCAACGTCAAAACATTGGAAATTATCAGAGCAAAAAACTGGAATTGGGAAGGTCCCATGAAGGAACTGTTTAGGCATCATGTCTTCCATCTGTTTTCTGGACCTATATCAGTGAAGGTGAAGCCCCCATACTCACCTGGTGACATCTGGCAGCCACTGGGCGGTCAGGCTGGGCCACTCCAGGGCATGCGTCATGACCAGATCATAGAGAAAAGGGGTGTTCTTCTTCCAGATCTTGTACTCCTCATTAATCACCCTTTCTTCCACGGCATCATCAAATGCAGCTGCAAAAAAAATAAAATAAAATATTCAAACATACTGTTAAAATACAACCTACAAAGCTGCTTGGCATAACTAGAAGAGAGCTGGAAATAACCATGTGGCTGCTGAAATATTTTAACCATTCACTTGTTAATTTACCACCACTATTGCAGTCATTTTGCCAATTTCTTATGTTATAATATGACTGCGATACGATTCTTTCTGCAAACTATAACAAAAACGCCTTAAATGTAACTCTAAATACTCGGGTGTGTGGTAAGTATCATCGCATTAAAACTCCCCTTGTCAGTAGCGAGTTAGCGGCTAACTGCTAGCATGCTGCTCCGTAACAATGAAAGGAGATGTTGGCTGACGCGCCAACAGCCACCGGTCCGACATGTCTCGGGTTTTAAACGGCTGTAGACCGTGAACACTTAAACACAGACGTTGTGTCCCGAAGGAAGGTTACTCTTACCGTCTTTGTCAGCCATTTCTTTGTTGGTGGGTAAACTATTCGGGCAAAAAGAAGTATTTTTGGGGAGAGCGCAAAGAAGACAGCACGGAGATCCGCAATGGCGCCAACTCCACAGAACACCAGCGGCCAATCAGCACGCAGTAAAAATCGACAGGAAGTCCTTATGACAGTGGATCCGGAAGAGCTGAAAAGCAAGACAGGCCAAGAATTGAGTCTTAAAGGGATATTGGGAAATGAAGGAAATATAAAGAATATTCACAGATTAAGGAAAACATTGTTTATTTATCTACAGAATTCAAAATAAAAAAATAGAATTTGATGTAAGGTAATGTTGCTATAAACTCATGTACAGTAGGTGGCGGTATGTATCTTAAAGTTCCTTGCGATCCGCAATAATAAAAAAAGACGAAGAAGAAGAAGTAAAATGCAACACAGAAAGTGGGAAATTGTAATATCATGTTTGTAACAGGCAAAATATTCTTGTTTTTTTTATGTTTTCTCGCATAAGGTCGTTCAAATTTCAGTTTAAGATGTTGCGTTGCAACAATTAGAAGAAACTATAAATAAACTAAATCATCTTACTTGTATGTATATTACGTTTATATACATTTCCACATTTCAGATGTGGAAATGTATATTTAACAACATGAACATGGACTGAGAGTTCTGTATTAACATAAATACATTAAATACGTCGACCCCTTTCTTCCCTTTATTTTTATACTTTGTACAGTACCCTGACGTAGCTAATTAAACATATAGCTCAAACAAACTGCGAATGCACCATTAGCTCTAGCTCATCGACATGGTGTTTAGCAAACTCATTCCTTAATTTTTGATTTTTATTCAACTTATAGTTTTAATGGACGACCGTGAGCTTGACCTGACTGGGGCACAGAAAGCTATCAAATCTAAATATCCTCCTATCAACAAGAAATATGAGTGTAAGTTCAACATATGTAAGCTTTGCTTGTTCCATTTGTTATACTTCAGAAAAAGTTAAACTGTAGGAACTCAAAACCTTTGGTGTAGAGCTATGAAAACAAGAACTGTCTTCTCTGCTGGAATTTAAAATATCCAGCTGTCATGTTAAAACTGATTAATAACTCGGTTCTACAGTCAGCTTGCTGCATGCCACCACGAGCTAATGCTAACCTAGCATTGGAGGTTCCTGTTTCATTAGCTCACAACAGTATTCTAGACTTAAGGCTTAATCATTAAGAAGTAAAAGCTGCTCTAGTTGATTTTTATATATATTTATAGAGTTCCCCACTAGGGAGAGCAATATATCAAACCAGGTGCATTCAGAACAGCTCCTAAACCCCACCTTGAAATGTCCCATAAAATCTGTGGGAAATGTGACCATTTCAAACCACCTGTTTGGTTCAAACCATCCAGATTTGAACCAAACAGGCCTACCACAGCCACACAGGGCTGCTTTGAAAGTTGGCTTTCAGATCAGGGGAAAGCCTGTCCTATGACAGGGCCTGGGCAGAGTTATGGAGGCCTGTTTAACAGATAAAACACAGGAGGAAGCAGTGAATTGAGGAGCGCTTCCATAATAACCCCCCACCCCCTACTGCCTGACACTTTGAACAGCTTCTTTGCAAGCTTTGATTTTCCAAGCAGTAGGAAGCCTGAATATCATCCACCATCAGAGCTGCAGCATCAGCCTCTGGTCCTTCAGCTACATGAGGTGAGAAGAATGAAAACCAGACATGGTCAGACTCCCAAATCGTGTGCAGGCCAACTTAAAGTTTTTTTTTTTTTAATTCATCTTAACCTCTCTCTGCAGCTTTCTGCAATCGATGTCAATCTGACCCCAGTCATTCCAAACTTGTTCAAGAGGATCCTTCTTAAATTAATCAAACATGCTGGCCTAGACAGCTGGCTATTCACCTACAGGGAGAACCGTTCTACGGAGTGAGCTGTCATCTTAGCACTACTAACGTATCTGATTCATCTGCAGCATCTTTTTATCTTTTTTTTATGATGCTTTTTTTGCTGTCGACACCTCTGTGGTTGGTTTCATATCAAATAATGAAGAGACTCTTCCCTAAACCACCAGCTAAACCCATCTCAGCACAACAGCGTAGTGTGGAAGAGGAATTGCTTAGCATGGATTGTGGGATTCCTTGAGCCAGATCTGGACTTTATGAATGTTGCACGGTCCAGAAGAAGGCCAAAGGCATTGCTTTAGCTGAGATGTTTTTCCCTTTTCCACTAGCAAAACACTGCAGGAACATCACAACCAGAACAAATGGGTTTAAAAACGGTTTCTTTTCATGTGCTGTGAAAGAAATATTCCCCTAGACAGGAAATAGTCAATTCCATGATCAATGATCATTCATAGGATGCTCTAAGACGAAGCACACTTTATGGGAATTCATCATTGTACATCCCCAAGTATATATTTTTATACTTTTTTTTTTCTAAGGGTGTTTTTCTTAGACTTAGACAGCTTTTATTGTCATTTTTTATACACAGAGTGTATACAAAACCAAATTTCATTTTGTAATTTCATTTTGTACAGCTTTCAGACAGTAAATGAGCAATAAAATGTAAACAGTGTGGGAGAAAAAACATGGTGCAAAAACACGTTGATATTGAAGTTCAGCGCATTTCAAGACAGATAGATATGGTGCAGTATTTGGTTTGAACATTTAAAGTCTAAGCAACTAAAATCAATCACTTTTCCTCCTTCATATTTTTTAATAATCTATCTTTGTCTTTGTTCTATTTCTATATACTGTGAGCCAAACATCCTGACAAGAGAGATCTATAGCAAAATAATTATAACTGTTGATGTCATGTTAAACCTGTATCTCTTGTTCCATTTCAGACCTGGATCACACAGCAGATGTGCAGTGAGTTTTTTGTGGCCTGCTTCAGTAAATTCCTGACCACCTCATGTTCAGCGATCATCTTGATTTGTTTCATTTATTTATATTTTTCCAGAATTCACTCCTGGGGAGACTCGTTGGAGGAGGCTTTTGAGCAGTGTGCCATGGGGATGTTTGGTTACATGACCGACACAGAGACGGTGGAACCGATCGATACTGTTGAAGTGGAATCAGAGGGTGAGAAAGTGGCCGAAAGCAAACTGTGGCTTGGGTTTCATGTGATAGACCAACACAAAAAAAAAAGCAATTACAAAGTAGAAAATGTTTTACAAAAGAGAAGAAAATACATGTAGAAGCTGCTCCTTCATGCTGTGTTTCACTGTTTTATTTGGATTTAAAATGTTTTACATAGAATGAATTCTATACAAGTCCTTTAATCCTATGCCTATAAATAAATCTCAGTGAAACCAATTGCCTTTAAATGTCAACTATATCGTTGTTAGGGTGGATGTGAATAAAAAAACAGTAAATGCACCCTCATAATGAATAGGAAATTATGAACTTTGCTTTAAAGCTAAGTCAGTGCCTTGAAAACAGCCAGATTAAATCACATGTCTAGCAATGGTGCCTAGAAGAGTGATCATCATATATGAATGAAACTACAACTTGATTACATGCTAAGATGAGATATCTAAGATGTTAAATGCATAATTAAACCTCCCTGGGGGAAAAAAACAAGTTAATATGTATAATTTAGTATATATAATTAGGCTTTTGTATGTAAACAGGAAACGTCTTTTTTTATCTTTGGCCTTGTTGGTGTTTTTAAAAAATTTTTATTGGAATTAATTTATTTGGTAATGAAACGGATCAGAGCAACACCTGCCCTCTGTTATCTTCACTGAGAACAAGAGCACATGCTATGCCAACATCTAATTTTAAAACTGTGAATAAAACTCAGGTAGTTCTGAAGATGATTTTAAGGATTCCACTAGGATGGGGTGGAAGGATATAAATCTCCCTAATTTTCTCTTCAAAAAACACCCCAAACAGCAAGGTAGGAAATCTGATGATCCAGTTAAAATTAAAAAAGTTTTGTTCAGTGTAAAATGAACACCACAAATGCAGTAGGGCATGGTGGCGGCTGCATCATTATTTGGGGCTTTTTTCTTTAGCTGTAATGTACTCAGGGCAAGGTGGCAGCAGTTAGGGTTAGTCGGCTTTTTAACTGGAAGTAAACATACTCTAATCAACAAAAGGAAAGTTTTAGCAGAAATTGTCAAAGGGAAAACAGAGAGCCAGGGTCGAAGATCTGATTTAAAATCTGTATCCCTTTGAGGACTGTGAGCATTAGATTTAATTTGCAGGTTGAAGTTTGTTTTTGATTAAAATCAAAGGTTAATGGTTTAAATTAAAGGTGAAAAAGGTTTCTGGTTTATGTGTTTTCAGAAAAAAAAGGGCATTTCATCAGGGTTGAGTAGACTTGCTGTGATCTATGTAGTTCAAGGATGAAAAAAATACAAAGTTTTACAGAAACCCCAGTAGACTTACTGATGTCCTGCTGAATTGACAACTGATAGTCCACTCTGTGGTAGTTCTTTGTGTTTGTATGTTAAGTTGTTAATGGTGATCTGATCGCTCAGGGTGGATTTTTTTATTTTTTGTGAGTGGTCGTCGTTGGGCTTCAAATTTACATCTGAAACATTCGTGCATGATACAACCGCTAGGTCTTAAAAGGGTAGGTTTCACCCACCCGTTACAACGAAACAAAAATTTAAGATAAGATAATTTATCATAAGGCCAGTCTGTTTGCTCTTTTAAAATCATAATGGAGGCAAAAATATGACAGTCTTGTGGAGCGTTTTAGTTTTACAGATTGTAAGATGTCCTGTTTCTTTAACCAAAGACTTTCTGTAACTATGAACTAAACAACAGAATGTTGACTTTTTACCACTGTAGGCAATGACTGGTAACCATCACCTTGTGTTTTAGATCATTGTTGTGTTAGAATGTCTTACTGACTGATACTGGGGGAGTGTTGGCCTAGTGGTTAGAGCAGTACGCTTGTGCTCTGAGAAGGTTGCAAGTAACTGGTTTGATCCCCACAGCCTGCATGCTGGGTCCCTGAGCAAGACCCTTAACCCCACACTGCTCCCCAAGGGGATGGGTTAAATGCAGAGGTAAATTTCTCCCATGTGAGATCAAATAAATTCAATTTTTATTTAATTAGACAACCCCCCCCTTTTTTTTCTTCTAACATTATGTATTCATTTTAGGAGCAAGTTCTACCAAATTCTTCAAACGTGATTTGCCAAGCAGCTCTGAGATCAGTAATTACCCATGGAAGAACATATTTTCTACAAAATACCCCCCAAATATTCAAAGTTTGTTTAGGAAATATAATTAAAGATGATAACCAATAATCTACATTAAATAAATAAATGTGGTTTTAGCATAACAGCGTTCTATCCCAGCTATTGTGCGACACGAGAGTCATCATCACCCGGCTAGTGTTTACGCATTTCGCCTGATCAGCTCATATCATGTAGTTTAAGATAAGTAAAAACTGCTCTCAATTGTTTTGTTTCAAAAGGTGAAGATCTGGAGTCTCTTCTGTTCCACTTCTTAGATGACTGGTTATACAAGTTTTCTGCAGATCTCTTCTTTGTCCCCAGGGTGAGTAATCTAACTAGTCATTGCAGTTTGATCAATTATGGAAAAAAAACATGTTAACAGTTTTTGTTCTTTCAAGTCACTCTTGGTTTTGATCAGCGCACCTGTTGAATATAATTTTCTAATCCTGAGAATTTGATTAATTTAAGTCTTATTGTTAATATTTGTTTTTAAGTATAATTTTGTACTTAAATCTGTTTTATCCGTTCACCAGGAGATCAAAGTCGTTTCCATTGATAGAATGCATTTTAAAATTCGCTCCATTGGGTAAGTTAAGACAAGATTTTTTACATTTATAAAAACTAGTATTCTGTTGAAATTAAGTGTAGTGCAACATTGTCCTCTAAATAGTATTTTTTCTTCTTCTTTGCAATTCAAATACTTTCTTTCAGCTCTGGACAAGTAGTGTAATTAATCTACTTTAGTGTAAAAATGTGCGTTTTGACTTTGACCAAACTTGCTCTTTTGTTGATAAAGGTGGGGTGAAGAATTTTCTCTGGAAAAGCATCCTCAGGTAGAATCAAAAAGGAGACTCATATATATATATATATATATATATATATATATATATATATATATATATATATATATATATATACATATACATATATATATGTTTGTGTGTGTGGTGTGTGGATAATAAAATAGATTAGTCTTATTTTTGCTCTATATTTTTGTTTTCTAGGGAACTGAAGTGAAAGCTATCACATACTCTGCAATGCAGATCCACGATAAGGAGAAGCCAGAGATATTTGCCATCATTGATATTTGAGAATTCTGGTTCGATGAAACTGCTGATTTTATATAGCCTTTTTTTTTCTTTGGATTACTTTTTTATTTCACTTGTAAAATAAGGTGTAATGGGTTTGATGAGTGGCTTACTATTTAACTCTTTGGGGTCATATTTAACTAACTATGGGGTCTTGTCTATGTGTTTAATGTAAAACTTCAGAAAAATTAAATAAATAAATTGCAGCAGTATAAATTGTGTCTATGGTTTAAAATCAGGATGTTTACTTGAAGTCATTAATAAAACTGATAAAAAAACTTGATCAAAATTGTATTTTGATAAATATGTTAAACAGTTCACCTGTTTTCTTCTAGGATGTAGTTGATATTGTTATAATTACTCAAATTTTAGTTTAGTGGGTTTGTTTTGTATTTAATATGAAATGGGAAATTCCTTTACCAGATCTAAATGTGTTTGTTTTCCTAGTATTTTCAACATATTTAACAAAACTCTGGAAATGAAAGGTTTTGGTTTAATATAAATGTTATTTTATTTAATCCACACAAAATAATCAAACTGAATCTTATTTTTCAAGACAAATGGATAAATACATTTCTATCATTATTGGTTCTCCTCCATAGAATAGTTTAATAAATAAAATGTCAAGAAAAGAGAAAAGGGAATCCAATTTCAATTTAGGAATGAAAAGACATTAAAAACATCCAATGTTAATAAAAAGACATAAAGAAAATGAAATAATTGAATTGTAAAATGAAAAAGTAAACTTTGTCCACTTTCTAAACAGATAAATCTATTGAATATATGTAGCAATTAATTCTATTGTAATTGTATGGAATAGATTTGTGTTTTTTTAAAGGAAAAATATGCCGTTAGTTCCATCTGAGAAGTGTGGCCTGCATGCGTTGCCCACTTCTCGCCAGCTAGACCTCAGAGGATTTTTAAAAACTATTGGGTACTGTTTATAAAATCTAACTCTACACACCTCCACAACTAAGTACAATGTATTTATATAGAATGTTTCTCAGGCTGCAGTCACTAAGTGTTTTACAGTAAAACTACATGAGCATTTTAAATATACATCAAAACAATCAGCTGTATTATTAGCCTGTCTGGTTTCTTCCTTGTTGTTGCTGTTTGCTCACTTATATTATTGGCCAGACCTTGAACCTCACATATAAACTGGACCTATGCTGAGATTTAATTCCTAATAGATGGACTTTATTCATTATTGCGTTCAATAATTTTACATATAAAAAAAGCTGCATACCAATGTTTGCCACAAAATGTTTTCTAAGTAAAAAACTTTCACAAATCATGATTGATTTTCTGCTTCACCACTTGCTATACTTTTTGTTGGACTATTACATGAAATGTAAAACTTCTTTTACCTTTTAGTTTATTTTATTCTAAACAAATCTGTCAAAATAAATGGACACAAAATTGTCCTTTGCAATGCTTTCAGGATACAATACCAAAGCTAAGGACATCTTGGTGGAAGTTCCCATTCCGTTTGGAACATCTCTAGTTCCAATACCATGATTTTCCATTATTATGCAACCCCATGCTAAATGGGTTAATGACATATTTTGTTACTCTACAAACCTAAATGAAGCAGTTGCAATTAGATTTATCTATGTTTTACACATTCCAACACATGAAATGCCATTGGTAATAAAATGCTATTCCACTTGGGTTAATGATTGCAGTAATTAAGGCAAATGCCATCTACACAATTCCCAGGCAAAACCGCTTAAATTAACTGAAAAATATTTAGAAAAACAGAAAATTCCTTCTAATGTAGTTCAGTAACATTGACCGATTAGTCTAATATGATACATATCAGAGGCTCTTCACGGACATAACTCAAGCCAATCTTATTTAGATGGGTGCAAATTAGTTGAAGGTATTTATGGTGGAAACAAAATCTAGATTGAAATTGTTTGTCAGTTGTGATTTGAAATTAATAAAAGATAGGAAAACTTGGAGGGTAGATATAAACAATTTGCTAGACCTAAGGGCTGGGGTGTTTTCCAGACAATTGTGGAAGTATGCAGAAGGAAAGTTTACTAAATCCCATGTGCTTTATAACCCTCTAAAGGTTAAAAAGTATAGAATTCTATTAATTCCAGTACTTAACAAAAATGTAAACATTGTTGACATAATTAGGGGCCAAATAATATCCACACAAAAAGAAAAACAGCCTGCTCTTATTGTCAGTTGGGTGAACAACACTAAACTGATATGGACGAATAATACTGCTGTTCATATTCGATTTTTTCTGTATAAACATTAAATTTTATTCACATCAGACACACAATCTTTTTTCCAAGAAAGACCCAGCTTGAAGAAGCTTGATGCTTTTTTTTTTTTTTTTTATTCGACATAATTTTTTTAATTTGTGGTTCCTATCTAAACAATCGAAAAAAACATTATTGCTTCAGATTGATTTGGGGCTTTCTTAAAGTAAAAAAAAAAAAGAAAGAAAAAAAATAGGCGGGAGCAAAGATGTTTCCGGTTGCCAGTGACGTAACTTCCCTCTCTCCTCTCAAATGCTGCTGCGCCATCCCTCCTTTGTCTGCTGCTGACCAGAGAAACCGGCAGGGATCACCGCTCCGCAGTCTGCTTTATTTCCTCTCTCAAATATTTTTTTCAAAGTTAATATAACCCAATTCTGCACTATTTCAATTCGGCGAATTAACCGCGAGTTAGTTTTGAGCCAGAAATCCAAGCGTCTGTAAGTCCGCCATAGTCGAGCCTTGGCGAAGAAAGAAAATCAAAATGGAAGACACTAAATACCTCCCGGAGCTGCTTGCGGAGAAGGACAGCTTGGATTCCTCCTTTACACATGCCATGAAACTCATCACCGCGGGTAATTTGGATAGTTTATGCATCTTTAAAGAAAAAAAAAAAGTTAAATGATGATTTTTCTTTTTTTTTTGTGCAAACGCATTTTTTCAAGGCCAGGCCCGAACAATGGCGCATTAAGACACGTGGTTATTATATATGTGGGTCAAATCCCCTCTCTTCCTTAAGAGGTTTTATTCATTTTAGAGAGCCACATGTGATGTATATTTTTTAATATACGTTTTTGCAAAAAAAGAAAAATATTTCCCACCTTTTCTAGGAAAAATCCAAAATGTCAAAATCCTTTTTAAATGGGGGAATATATTACAGGCTGCATTTATGAATGGGGTAATCATTTAATTGTACACAAAATGCATTTTAATTTATGCTAACATGTTTCTTTGCAGAGATTGAAAGGATTCAGAAAGGCGAACCCAAGAAAGCACAGGAAAAGGAGACCTACCTGGACCTGTTTGCCACAAAAACTATGAAACTGAAGGAGCGGGTCCTCATCCCATCAAAGCAGTACCCCAGGGTAGGTATAATGAGGTTTCTGCAGGTTAATTGTGTAGAAACCTAAAGACAACTGTAATTTAAGCCTAGGATTCAGGAGGACAAACGTGTAAATGTAAATCCATTTATTTTACTACAATGGTGAAATTCACTCTGTGCATTTGACCCATCCCCTTTGGGAGCCATGGGCAGCCATTGTGTGGCACATGGGGAGCAGTGTGGGGTTGAGGGTTTTGCTCAGAAACCCACAACCATATGAGGACTGCTCTAACCACTAGGCCAGTACTTCTGTTTCTCTGAGTTAGCTATACATGTGATTCCCTCCCACATGTTGAAATCCTTTTCCTATTGTCTGTGTTCCTTTATGAGTGGTTCTGCAATTCTTGATGTAATAAAGGCTAAAATGAAGATGCAGATGTGGCCTTTGCTCTGTTTCTAAATTATCTGGTCATTATCATGCAGGTTAACTTCGTTGGAAAGCTTCTGGGGCCTCAGGGCAGCACGATCAAAAGACTCCAGGAGGAGACTGGAGCAAAGATCTCAGTTTTGGGAAAAGGGTCAATGAGGGACAAAAACAAGGTTTGTGTATAAAAAAAAAAAAACATTTTAGATGTTGAATACATTTTTCAACATGACCATAAACTATGAATTGATCCCCAGGAGGAAGAACTCAGGAAGGGTGGTGAGTCTAAATATGCTCACCTGGCCATGGAGCTACATGTGTTCATTGAGGTCACAGCACCCATTCCAGAGGCGTATCTGCGTATGGCTCATGCCATGGATGAAGTCAAGAAGTTCCTCATCCCAGTCAGTGAAATCTTTAATCCCACACCTTTAATCTGCTTTTTATGCAATGGGTCCGTAACCTCTTGAACCTTTCTGCTGTCCTTTCAGGAGCCTGGTGAGCATGACCCGTACATGGATCCTCAGTTCCTGAATGGATCTCAGGATGGTTCTGGAAGAGGGCGAGGGGGTCTTGGAAGGGGGCGAGGGGGACCACCTGGTGCCGGAGGACCAAGGTGAGTACTTTTTGTGTTAAGTGCATGGTATTACATTAGTTCCCTTAAATAACAAAGTCATTTGTTCAGGGGCAGAGGTATGCCACGCGGAGCACTCCGAGGAACAATGCGTGGAGGAGCACCCCGTGGAGGACCAGCCAGGGGTAGTGCACCCAGAGGGGGCCCAGCCGGTAGGGGGGGTCTGCCCTCTGCTCCTACCAGAGGAGGATCTGCTACCCGCTCCAGACCACCTACAGGTGGCGCCCCGCGGATGCTCCCTTCAGCAGCCTTGTCCCACCAAGGGGGTCCTTCAGGATCACAATCCAAACCTGACGCTTACGATGAATATGTAAGTACTTCTGATTTGTAATGGACACAGCTTAAGATCCACATCTATGGAATAAATGTCCACCTTTTTACATCTAGGGCTCATATGAGGAGGCTTATGCAGAGCCTTCCTACGAGGGATACGATAGCTATTACAGTCAACAGGCTGCACCTGCGTAAGTGTTTTTGTTTGTGTGTGTGATTTTTATTTACAAGAGTCTTATTTTTAAAATGTATACATATTATTCTGGTTTTAGGGATACAGAGTATTACGATTACGGACATGGTGAAGCCCAGGATCCATCATATGAGGGTTACGGTATGTTTGAGCTGTTAAACGGCATCGTGCAGTGAATCTTCTCCCATGTACCATATGGTGAAATATTTTTTGTGTTTTCTCCCCTTTGCAGGTCAGGGAGACTGGGACAACTCGTGGTCCGGCTCTGGAGCTGGAGGCAAAGCTCCCGCTGCACGGCAGACCAAGGGTTCATACAGGGATCATCCATATGGCAGATACTGAACAGCAACTGGTAGAGAGTTGCTTTAGCAACTGTCTCCGATATAACTGGCTAAACTTTACACAAAGTAATTCCCCCTCTTGTTTGTTCCCTTTTTTTACGGTATATTTTATGTTCTGTTAACTTTTTTTTTTATAAAACTTAGAACAAGTTATGTTGGATGTGTTAGTGCTGGATAAGAAACACAATTTATATGAAAAGGAAAACAGACTTTTTTCCCCCAATGTTAATCCTTTTTCCATTACATGTTCCAATAAGGGTTCAATCAATTAACTTTAACAGCTGGACAAAAGTGATACTGATAATTAATTGCTATTTCAGTTAATGGTTTAAGTAACAAACTGTGATTGTGGCGATTTAAACTATTACCATCTAGGCTGCATTTCCCAAAAGTCCTTCACCACTGGACATTAATTGCTCCTAATGCTTCAGTTTAAGTTTCTATTTATATATTTGCCTAAAACAAATTTAAACACAGCCTTAAGATATTTTGATGAGCGGAAAAAAAATCTTAAATTTGTGTTAAATATCTAGTTTCTCTTAAATTGTAGAAATCCATATTTTTGCCAATTGGTATGTAAAGTCGCTCTGTAACGTGAAAAACTGATCTAATTTTTCTTTAATCTTGAAGGATAGACTGCAGCCACATCAATATTTTGTACATAACCTTAGGATAACTGTGTTTGCTTCAAGTCGTGCCGTCTCAAAATGCTCAATGCTTGTGTACCTTTGACTAAATAGTATACTAAACGTATCCCAAAATGTTTTTCTGCAGTGCGTGTTTCAATAAAGTTTCTAGTTTCTTTTTAATCAATCTAAACAGTATTTCTGCCTTTTATTGTACCAAAGGATTGCCTTCACTTTGTGAAAATGGTCCTCAACTGCTCCCCAATGCTGATTTAAGCTTGTATGTATACACCTCAACCTGAGCTGAATTTGGACAAATACAGGAGAGAAAAAAAATAAGGACACGTAGTGTTTTCCTGCCCAATGAGCTCACCCTTTTCAGTTGTTTTTCAAACTAGACGCTTGTAATGCCACTTTCAAAAAACGGCAAAATAAAGCTCATTTATTGAGATCATATGCCAAATTCATGTTTTGACAATGATGCAGTGCTTTAACATGTATTGTCATTAATCTTTAGTTAGTGTATCTCTCAGAGCTCTCAAGAGCGCAATGTATCTTCAGCCACTTGAAAATGACTGAATTTCAACAGTATTCCCCAAATCAAGCTTGCAGGGATCTTACTTGACTTTGATGCAAAGTCATGCTGGCTGCTTTTTATAAAAGAAAAATATCGCAGAGGAGAGGACTCTAAAAAGCCTAAAGGTCGCCACAAGAAGGTAAAACTAACCCCAACACTCATTTATTAGATTTATTTGTTTTGTTCTTTTTTTATTTTCTGTGCAAAACATGTTTAAGTAATGCAAGTCATCCAAAACATCAAAACCATTTAAAGTACAAAATTATGCTATGACATTTAGTAGTTATTCCGAGCAAAATTAAGACGCAAAAACAATCATGTGGTTGTGATGCAACTCTTGCTCAAAAAAAAGCAATAATTGTTTCATTTCACTCAATACTTTATCCATCCTGGTTATTTCTGTAGAATGTAGTTAAATGAAAATGAGTAGCTGCACTTAAAGCCTTAAAATATTCTATTAATGGGCAAAAACTTTCAGCTCGAGTTGCATGATCCTCTTTATTTTTTTAGTCTTAGTTTTGCATGTTTTGTTGCTCACTTTGTTCTACATTTGGATCTTTGTGATTTCTGGACCTCATTTATTTTTTCTCCTCTCAGGTTGTCATGAATGTGTTGGTGCAGTTGATAAATTCAACTCCTGCAGCTCAGGCCTGTAAGGTCAGTTGGAAAGGGCTCATTCAGGTTCTGATGGGTGTGTTTTCTTTGTTTCCTATAATTAATTGGGGTTCACTTTCGTCAACAGAGCCACTTCATGTTCTGTGGAAACTTGGACTTTTGGACCCCATTTCTACAAAGTCTGACGCGGGTCACACTTTCCACGGGGTGGAATTGTTTTTTTTATCAACTTCTGGATCTTTTTTACTTTTTTATATATTTTTTAAGCATTTTAAAATATTTTGTACAAAGTTTTAAGCCCATTTTTAATGGGGTGAAATGTCAGAATAAAAAGTGTTCATTTAAAGTGTCTCTTTAATTTAGAGGTTATCAATGGTCAAAGGGTTTGTAAGACATATGAGCCAAGGTTTGAAATTGGAAGACTTAGTGGTGAGTTTTGCAGGAACGGCTTCCTCACTCTAGTCACTCGTGTGCATCAGTTCATAAGAACCCACAATGACCCACTTAAAGCAAGGCCTTGATACAAGACTGTAAGATGGCATCCATTGAAGTGACATTTAAACCGCAGCTGGCCTAAAAGGCACTGTATTAATGACTAACAAGTACTGGAATAGTCAAATGGGAGTGGCAGCCTAGTGGTTAGGGCACTGAGCAAGACCCTTAACCCCACACAGCTCCGCGGGCGCCGCACAATGGCAGCCAACTGCTCCACAAGGGGATGGGTTAAATGCAGAGAAGTAATTTCCCTCTGAGATTATTAGAGTATATCAGAAAAAATGGTCAGACCTCTATTGTGCTGTTGTTTATGGAACCTTGGATTCTGTCTGGCAGCATAAATGTATCAGGACATCCAGTTTAGGATGGTATAGCTATAGTTAGGATTCTGCTCTTGATGCTGTAGCATTTTAATGCTTTGAAAAGTTTAATCGCTGCAATACTTAACTGTCTATGAAGTCCTTCAATTTCTCTGGTGTCTGCAATCATTGGAAATTTGAATTTTCATTACCAATTACAAACTAAATTTGTTTAAACTGAGTCAAAACTGTAAACTAAATATGTGAACAATGATGGTCCATCTCCTGATTGGAGAACACTGGGTTTGGTTCAGCATGAGCGTAGTATTCCTCTATTTTAACCCTGACATTGTTGGCTAAAGGGTTTGTATGCTGACTATTTTTAGTAAATTTTGAAGTTAAAATGGATGAGAATTAGTGGGTTCTGTACAGAACTCTGTCAGGATATAGATATTTATGTGAACTTTATTCCATAAGGTACAAAAAGTGGAATTTCCAACAAAATGCTCTATACATTACTTTGGGTTAATATTGTTATTGATGCCGAATTCAATCTAACTTTATAGGTTCTGTCTGGGATAGATGCCATAGTAACATTCCCTATAATTTATCTTCTCTGGAAACTACAAATTTAAGCCTTAATTTCTGCTTTGCCCTAAAAAGAGAATATTGTAAAACTGATAGAAATGTTAAAACGATTCTTACGAGAGCAATTGATGGAAGCCTGATCTAAGGACTTTTAACATTAGACTTCAATAAACAAAATGTAAAGGCTACACACTGCAAAGGGATCCATCTACCAGCTGCAGTTTGTATGTTTTTCTGGACCTTCCTGATCTGAACCCACTATACTGTACAATATCCAGAAATATTGTCAGATTGGAGATAATCTTAATGCTGTTATGGAGCCACGTCATCCCAAGCACATCTACAGGCGATCTACATGCTGTACTGATAAAGTAAGTCAAAGTAACAATGAAAGTCATTACACTCATATAAAATAGTGCTGTAGTTTCACTCAGCTTGACATATAAAAATGTGCAAAGGATAAGAGATTTGAGGTTTCCACTCATAACGTCCAAGCCCCATATGGTTGTCAAGCATGAAAACTTAATTTCTAGAAATTGCACTTACAGCTTTTATCATTTTGTATACGCATTTTGAATACCAAAACTAAATTTTGTTTTTGTAAAGTTTTCAGAAAGTGAATAAGCAAGTTAGCAGTGAAATGAACATTTCCATTTCATAAAGTACAGCAGTGATCAAATGTAAACAGTTTGGGAGAAAAACATGATGCAAACCATTGATATGGAAGTTCAGAGCAAAGCAAAGACACATGGTGCAAAAAAGGAGTAGAATTTTTTTTTGAGTTTCCATTTTAGTTTTGTGTTATCAGTGTGAGTCTGTCTCTTGCTAAATAAATATTTTATACTAATAAAGACATGTAACTCATGGTCAGTGATCAGTTATTCTTACTTTCAACCATTTTTTAAAACAAAAATGGAGCATAGTTTAGTCCACTGAAGGCATTTTAGGCCACTGGAAAAAAAATTAATTGATTTTTAAATGTAATTTCAATATGAGAAAAAAAGTCAGAATTCTGACTCTTCTCAAAATTCTGACTATTTTTTTCCTCAAAATTCAGACTTTTTCCCCCTCAAAATTCAGACAGTTTTTCCTCAAAATTTGGACTACTTTTTTCCTCAAAATTCAGTCTCTTTTTCCCCTCAAAATTCTGACTTTTCCCCCCTCAAAATTGTGACTTTAATCTGACTTTTAGATCTTAATGTAGATGGGCACCATGAAGGAAGAGATGTAGGAGCACTCAGCTTCACTGACAAAGATGTGAGTTGTTTTGGGTGGGCCAGTGACACATTGGTGCAAAATGAGCAGAAGGTGATTAAATAAAGAGAGCTCGTCTCTAAAACAGACTTGTCTACGGCTTGATGCTTACATATTTATTAGCTGTCAGAATTCTGAGCTTGAAGTCAGAATTCTGACTTTTTCCCATATTAAGCTGAAATAATATTTAAAAATCTGTGAACTTTATTTTTTCGTTGGCCCTAATCCTCTTCCGTAATGAAAGGTAGACCATTCCTAGATCCCATTTCTCCCAGGGAGAATGATGTATTCAGTACAGGACATTGTTATGCGACATTTATATGTTTCAAAGACTGTTGTGACATGTCAACATTTCTGTTTTTTTGACTCAACAAAATGTTGGTTAACATGATGCAAGAAACTGCCTTGTTGCAGTTCGACTCCATCTCTTTTAAGTTTTGTTTGTTTCCTTTGGATGTAAAATTACTGCCTGTTTATTTGTTTATGTATTTCCATTGCCTTACAAAAGTTATGTTGATCTCCTTTATATAACTGTTATTTTCTCTTTTTTTTTGTAAGAAAGAAAAGTGGAGATCCCTACTTGAAAATGTAAATTAATGTTTTTGTTCAATTATAGTAAAAATAAAAAATAAATGCCTGAAGTTTGTGTTTCCATTTGCTGCATTAATCAACATTACTGGCAATAACGGTTTAAAATAAGCCTGTCTTTGTGTGAGGTATCTATATTGTTTGACTGAAATATTTAAATGAGGGATTTTTGAACTTAAATATTTACCTTTGGTGTATTTGCTATAAAATTTGGTGTCCCTTTAAATAACTCTCCTCCCACAGTTTACACCCCTACCCACCCACCCAGCAGCGACCTGTTTCACATCAACAATGAGTCTCCTCGCTGGCTCCAGTGCAAAAATATCCTGTATTTTTATTAATCTTCCGAAAATCTAATCCATTAGTAGTTAAACAAATAAATCCCTTAGCGACCACCGGAAGCGGTAAGCGCATATTTCCCTCTGCGGCCTGTTTAGCTGATTTGTTTTTAGCTAGCTGGTTAGCTTGGAGTTAGCTTAGGCCTCTATCTTCATATTTAATCAAGCGTGGTCTTGGCGGAAAGAGGAGGGGGGGTCTTTGTTGTGGTCCACGTTGTTTTTCCTTCCTTCTGATCCGTATGTGGGAAACAAACGTCCCGTGGAATATTTTCAAATCCAAAACCACCAGATGATGTAGCTACTTAGCTAACTTGTAATGACAGCTTCCGCAGAGGCTGCTGGGATGTTATGCAGCTTGTTTAGATCCACAAACCTGTAGCTTCATGCACTATTATCACGGTTCCGGTCATATAGTTGTTAGCTGTTTTTTCAGTTCAGCTTTATAATTATATATAATGGTAGTGAAACACTTTAAGCTGTGTGGTTTTCTTTTTGCCTTATTTTGCATGTCCGCTAACACTTGATGTAGCAATGCTTTAAGAGTACACAATATGCATGATTATTAAATATATAAATGCATTCTGCATGTGTGCTGATTTCAATGGGCTTTTCAAACAGGTGCATGAATAGAGGGAGAGATCAGGCTGCTGGACAGGAAAAACCAGGTGAACAGCGGGTGTGGCGATGGCTGGTGGAAGGAGAGGGACCAATCGGACCACCTACTGCAGACCTCCGTTAGGTAGTGATGCAGGCTCTGTCGCCAATGGCAACCACACCAACAGCTCCCCGGTCACAGGGGTGCGATCCCGAGCAAGGCAAGTCTTTGTGCAGATATCTGAAGAACTACACAATGATTTTCAGGAGTCTTCAATGCAAAAGTTCAAATGATCATATTGGGATGCTACGCCAACGGGAAGTAGCTCATAATTGTAAATTGAATGTAGATTAGACAAAAATAATGTGGATTGTATATTCCCCCATTTTTACACCCCTGATTTAGCTTAGTAAACAAGCCCCACCCGCCAGCAGCCAAAATATTTTTTTTTCCTGTAAGCCCCAGGCCCTAGAACTGGCGGGCCAATCTCAACACCGAGATGTGTTTTGAATTTCTGGATGCAAAGCGGGCAGGGTTTTGAGGGCGTGACGACAAAGCTGTACGGCGCTGGAAAAAGCACAATAAGGAAGATGGCGGCAACAGCTTTCAATGGATAATTTGAGGCGAGAATATTGTACTTTAGAGCATCACTATATGGTCCATTTACCGATTTAATGAGTAACTAAAAAAACAATTTCCAAAGATGAGAGGACCATGTCAACCAGCAGACCTCCGAGGTTAACGGCAGCCAATCTGGTGATTTTTGACTCAGCCTTGGGAAGGACGTATTCACCGTTTTACCAACAGGCTGTTTGTTTACACTACCCCACCAGCTTTCTGTTGCACTTCCTGCGTCACAGTCAGTAGCGCTCATTGTTCAGAGCGTTGGCCAATAGGCACAGACATGGTTTGAAAAATAACGGGTTGTTCTCATCAACAATCTTCCGATGTGTCATTCATCGGGGCCAGACTAAATTACACATTTAATCTCACATTTAGTCTGGTTTATCAGGCTACCCCTGAATAACTTCCGGCGTAGGTAGTTGGCCCTATTTAATAAAAATAATAATGGAACTTTATTGATCTCGCACTGGAGAAATTTACCTCTCCATTTAACCCATCCCCTTGAGGAGCCATGGGCTGCCACTGTGCGGCACCCGGGAAGCAGTGTGGGGTTAGAGGTCTTTGCTCAGAGACCCAGAGTGGATCCTGTGGGGATTGAACTGGGTACTTGCAACCTTCTCAGAGCTCAAGCGTACTGCACTAACCACCTATTTTTAAATATATTAGACAGCTGTTTAGGAATGTATGGAAACTGAGAGTGGCCAAACTCAAACTTTTTTTTTTGTTTCCATTGATTTCTCGAGATAATGATATAACTATCTCGTTATCACGGTTAAACCCTTAATTGTTTTTGTCAAGATAACCAGATAAATATCTCGTTATCATGAGAATACAGTTATTGATTTCTTGAGATAACGAGTAATGAATGACGCTGGGCAACGGCCCTAATTTCCCATTTCCATTCATGCCTGCGGTGCCTGTAGTTGTGTGGTTGCTGTACAGCGTGTGCGCAAACAATCAGCTTTTTTAGTTTCCTTTTTCTTTCCACTCTTTTACAGGTCGCGGTGGTTTATTGGATTGCATGGAATACAGTAGAAACAAATCTGACAGTTTTTTTATGAAAATAATACATCTTGACTCATTTTGGGGGTTAATGCATCTTATACCTGTTACAAGCATAACACCGGGTCTGTTCAGAAAACATCCGGCGCTAAGTCGCCAGAGGCACAGGTCTAATTGATCATGAATCAGAAGTAGAAGCAAATAATCAAACCAACAACGTCGTCTCGTTACCTAAAAGTTAAACACACGATTATCCACAGAATTACACATAGGCTGTCATGACTTATAAGTTACTTCCGCTGTTGTGGTATTGAAGGATGTAATCAGTTTTAACACACACCAATCATCTCGTTATCATGACAAAACCGGCTTTTGTTACCTTTAGGTAGTGAGGAAATTAACTTGTTTTCTCGAGAAAACCACAGTATAGGAAAAGTATCTGAGGGATACGACCGCTCTCGGCTTTCGTAGGAAAACGACTCAAAGACTTGTTTGAGAATATTAGTAAAGGAACGGCATTGAAAAGCTGAATAAATGCAAGTGAAACTAGGTATTATTTTGTGAAACAAGATCTCAGGCTATATTTAAACCTTTATTTGGGCTTCGGAAAGGCGGAAGCACATTGTCATCTGTCCAAGACATGGCTACTTTACAGACAAACCTGGATATTACTTAGTGCCAAGGCGTCGACATAGGGGTGCTTGAAAAAAGGAACGGTTCAATATTTAGATTAAAAGTATAGTCCTGTTTCATTTCCAATCTTTTACAAAATCCTTTCACACACGGATGAAAATGCAAAAAGAGATTTTGCATGTGAAGGTAGAAGACAATGTGTAGCCAAAGAGTGCCCCCGTATTTATCTTTCAACTTTGGCATTGATAGGTCGACAGTACCTCAGAAGCTGTAGAAATGCATGATGCCAGTTCTATAATCTGACGATAGGTCCACCATTACTTATGCAATCAACAAATATGGTCTATATGTAGAAAGAAAGACGCTATTTTTGAGGAAAAAAAAAAAGTTCTGTTTTCAGTTTGCCACAAGCTACATAACAGTAACAGTAAGCTTTGATCTTTTGCTTGTTCAAAGAAAATAATCCATGTCCTTTTAAATGGTCAAGACAAAGGGGTCAACGTCGGATATAATAGGACTAAATAATATGATACAAAATAAAATGGGTCCAGTCAATGTGCAACGATGCAGCATTATCAAGAACAATGTCAGAGCTGTTGAAGCCAGATGAAGGTAAATACTTGGTAATAATGGAAGGAAACCTGTTGGTTACAGAAGACTCTAGACTCAGGAGGAGGTTCACCCTCTAAACAGTCAGTGACTGTTAACACGCAGCCAGTGCTGCATTCAGATGGTTTTTGCATATTCATCTGTTGCAGTGGCCCAAAGCAGTCACCTAAATAACTGCACAGGTTACTTAGAGGTATGCAGAATACAAACCACTGTCACAGTTCATGATGAGCTTTTTAATAATGTGGTTCTACCTGCAGGAACGGCTCTGGAAGCTGCATGTCGAGCCCCCCGCTTGCTGCTCAGACTGTGGTTCCTCTGAAGCACTGCAAGATCCCCGAGCTGTCCATGGACCGGAACGTATTGTTTGAGCTCCACCTCTTCTTCTGCCACCTTATCGCCCTGTTTGTTCACTATGTCAACATCTACAAGACTGTGTGGTGGTACCCCCCGTCACACCCTCCCTCCCACACATCGCTGGTCAGTACTGGAGTCGTTCTGCTTTTAAAGCTGTGTTCAAAGTTTTCTGTTTCATGAAAACAAGTGTTTTTTTTTAAAGCAGTTTGTTAAATAATAAAACTGAATATGCTTTATTGCAGAACTTCCATCTCATTGATTATAACATGCTGGTGTTCACAATCATTATACTAGCAAGGAGGCTAATTGCAGCAATTGTAAAAGAGGCAAGTCATTTTTCTCTTTCACACTGTTCACATTTACGGTGATTTAATTTTTTATAGCAGTTTTTATGTAAAATAATCCGTTTTCTTTTCCTCCAGGCATCACAGAGTGGAAAACTCTCCTTCCCCCACTCGATATTTTTAGTGATGGCCCGGTTTGCAGTGCTAACGCTGACAGGCTGGAGCCTTTGTCGATCCCTCATTTACCTGTTCAGAACCTACTCTGTCCTCAGCCTGCTCTTCCTATGCTACCCGTAAGTATTCACAAAAAAAAAGGAACTGTCATTATATATATATTTTTTCTTTTTTTGATCTCATGTTCCTATTGAGTTTGCTGTTATGAAGTGGTTTTAATCCATGTAAATACAAGATATCTTCTTCCCCCATGATGTTTTTGGACGATGTGAGGGTCAGCTATTGGCTTTAAAGCTTAGTTTCCATTTAGTGCTGGCTATTATCTCCTAGGTATCCAATCGAAATGCGTAGAGTAAGTTGTTGAATAGAACAGTTTAAATATTGATAGTTTAATGGAGTCTGAAGCAGATGTGGATTGATTTAACGGCCACCTCCTTGCATTTCTAATCAAGGTTTACTGTATTTGTTGACTACTTCTGATTTCTGAAGGATTTTTTTAACGTTTTTTGCTTCAAATTAAGATAGATAACACAAATAATTAAAGATACCACAATAATAGCCCATAATACCACTGTTTTCAGTAAACATGTCCAGAATGACAGCGCTCAATAAAAAGGCCTCTATTAGATCTTTTATTTATGACGATGGAAGATTATACTGCTAATGGTTTATAGCAGCCTATATATGTTTTCTCTGGCTTTATAATGAGGACCAGGTGGATTTATCTCAGGCTGATCCCTGTAATAAACGACTTAAAGGGATTTCAGATCAAAAACAAACTGAACTCCGATAACGGCGTTACAAAGACGTGTTTGGCTCATCAATAGAAAAAACATACTACTGCTTTCAATCAGGTCAACATTCTTTCTTCTTTACAGATTTACTTTTCTGGCTTTTTATTTTATCATTATTTACCATAGAGCATTAATAATGTTTACACTTAAACTGCTTTAAATGTCATTGAAAAAACACTTAATGGCTCTTCATGTTTTCACTCATTCTGAAAACGATCAGATGTTAAAACATTTCTGCATGTTTGCTCTATATAAATGCTTAGATACACCAATAATGTGGACATATCCCCCAATAAATATACACTACCTCCGCTACATGGTGGAGCCCAGCTCTGCAAAAAAAAGAAAGCAAATCATTAATGCTGAAGTCAGAACAGAACAAGCAGTTAAAACTGCTTCACTTTACATTTTTGGGCATCCGAATATGATGCTGGATGAGCTCCCTGAGTGCAGTTAAGCTATAATTGCTGCTTATTTTGGTGTATCTAATGCAGGTTGAATCGTTATGTCTTGATGACCTTAGTTGATACATCCAGCCTTTGGACCTTTATAATCAATAAGAGTATTTAGACTGTGTGACACAGGACGATGGGCGAGCAGATAGCAGGCCAGAAAAATTCCATGTGATTTTTATTTTTTTTTTGCCGGACAGAGGAATAAGACTGCAGTAAATCTATAGAAATCACATGGCTCCAGCAGTTAACCGAATAATCAGATCATTCTGATTTTCAAAATAATGAACTAAAGGCTGCTAGCTCCAGTTAGAACTTCTCTGTATTAAGACATTTAGGAGTTTATTTCTATATATTTGTGTCATTTTGGCTGCTCCCTTATTTATGAATCAGTTTGGGTTAATGCTCCTTGAAAAGCAGTGAACATCCATGGTCACTAGAGAAGCAGATATATACTAGAATGCTTTGCCAGAGTCCTTGCAAAGCATTATGGGATTTGTTGTGACAGCGACCCGCTGTCTGGTAATAAGAGAGATGGGAAGCAGAGTCATTTGACCAACAGGAAACTAAAAGTAGTCATCATCTGTCCGAACAGTCAGTTCACTATAAAGTCCACTATATAGTCCCCACTCTATATAGTGATTGAGGGATCTAGTGCTTAGGGCGGACGTTCTGGCACAGCCAAAGTTGTTACGCAGCTGGGATTTGAGTCAGGGAACCTTGCGTATATTTATATATATATATGTGTGTCTGTTGGCACAATAGACCAATTACTCAGCTGTAATTATTAATACATATCAAAAAAATGACTGAAAATCGAATGTCAAAGATTGAAACCTCTTTGTTAAAACTGGTCACAATTATAAACAGAGTTTATTTCATGATATTCTGGACAAATTAAATGTGATCGTTGGAAAATACCTACTGTTGATTATTTTATTTTTTTTTAACTCTGCTATGTAAGAACTAAAAATAGGACCTGAAAAGGAGCCTCGATCTTAACTTCTAATGATCTTTGCCTTCTGACACAGTGTTTGGTGTTATTGCCGCTGTTATCGCTGTGAAAAGTGTTAAAAACCAATAAGATGTAACATCAGGTTATGTTTCCCACAGATTCGGGATGTACATTCCTTTCTTCCGACTGAGCTGCGATTTTCGGCGGGCGGGTTATCTCTCACCGATCGCGAGCATCGGCTCCAAAGAGGTTGGTAGTGTGAGCCGCGGCAGGGACTACTTCACCGTGCTGAAGGAGACGTGGAAGCAGCACACAAGCCAGCTGTACGGCGTCCAGGTGATGCCCACACATGCCTGCTGCCTGTCTCCTGACCTCATTCGAAAAGAGGTGGAGTTCCTAAAGATGGACTTCAACTGGAGGATGAAGGAAGTGCTGGTCAGCTCGATGCTTAGTGCTTATTATGTGGCCTTTGTACCTGTATGGTTTGTAAAGGTAAACTGCTGTTGAATTTGATCAGTTTTGATTTTATTTTAGCCTTTTTGTTCTGAGAATCTCTGCTTTGTTCTGCAGAGCACTCAGTATGTAGATAAGCGATGGTCCTGTGAGCTGTTTATACTGGTGTCAGTCAGCACATCAGTCATCCTCATGAGGCACTTGTTGCCGCCTCGGTACTGCGACCTGCTTCACAAAGCTGCAGCCCACCTCGGCTGCTGGCAGAAGGTCGACCCCTCTCTCTGCTCCAACGTCCTTCAGCACATGTGGGTTATCTTCTTTGTTTATCACATCATTTTAGTTCAGTTCAGTTTTCTTTACTAAAGTAAGTCATACTCTGTGTGTGTTTTATTTTTTCCTTCAGATGGACTGAAGAGTACATGTGGCCTCAGGGAGTCCTGGTAAAACATAATAAGAACGTGTATAAAGCCATGGGCCACTATAATGTTGCTGTTCCTTCAGATGTGTCCCACTATCGCTTTTATGTAAGTCTCACTGGATAAAGTTTATTTAAAAATGCAACTGTATGGCCTTTTAAAAGTATTCATACCCCCTAGTTAATGAATTGTGAGGTGCAAATGATTTAGTTTGGCTCTGTCTGAAGCTCAATTAGCTCAATGGGATAAAAAAATATAAATGTTGCTACGGATTCAGTTAGATTTTGTCTTTTTTTGCCTCGATGAAGAGTTCAATAGTTCTTGCCATCTTCCTTGTCATCACGCCCTCAAAACCCCGCCCGCTTTGCATCCAGAAATTCAAAGCACATCTCTGCGTTGTGATTGGGCCACCAGTTCTAGGGCCTGGGGCGTTGATTGACGCTAGACCAAACTCGCAGGGAAAAATGATTTTGGCCGCTGGCGTGTGGGGCTAGTTTACTAAGCTAATGACTTGGATGACTGAGCACCTTCACCAACATGTACAGTTTTTGTTTTCTGACACCAATAAGGTTTTTTTTTTTTATGTAGGCCAAAGAATTGACTTTTGATTTATATCAGACCAGAGGATCTTTGTTTAGTTGACCTTTAATCACAACTTGCAGATTGGTAAAAACTTTGGCAGCTCAGACCATCATCGCTGATCGTATATATATATATAAGAATGTATATATATATATATATATATATATATATATGAATGTATATATGAAAAAAAGCTGTTTTCCTTTTTCAAAAGCAGTACAGAAAAAAATTCTTAAAATGTGAGGATAAGATTATTTGGACCTTTAATCAGTCATGGATGTGCTAATATACATCATGTGACTTTTACTATAAAAATATTAGAACTAGCCAGTTTATTAAAGTTGGCAGAACCTGAGAAGAAACAAAAACAAATGAGATAATTTACAATCATTTACATATCCCTTTTCCCGTTGGACCACCTTTTCATTATAATATTGTGTTAATCGTTTATTGTTAAGTAAGGAAAAAATGTCATTTAAGAACTTTTAATAAAAATGAAAACCCAATCTTAGCCCCCAAAATTTTGGACGCCACTGGTTGACATAGAAACCCTGTAACCCTTCTAACTCAACCCTGTTTCTCCAAGACTTTCTCCCTTACCTGCTTGCTGTGTCTCCTTATTTTCTAAAACAAAAAAAACTCCAAGGCTTTCAAACTCTGCTGTATTCATACTGAAATTAAAAGTCAAACCTAATGGACTACATTTGGAATTTTCAAGGAAAAATGTTGCATTGGATTATATACATGGGTATCAGAGTACTTGTATAGATATTAATTTATATTTCTATCCATATTAAAGTGGAAAAACAATTATTTTTCTTGCACTTATGTGCAAATTGCTTTTTAAAGATTGCATAAAATGTTGGGGGGAAATAAATGATAGTTGGAGGTTAAATGTAACGAAATAAGACCTCAACATTAACCTGCCCTCTCTGTTTCCCCTAGTTTTTCTTCAACAAGCCTTTACGAATATTGAACATTCTCATCATCCTCGAAGGCGCCATCATTTTCTACCAGCTGTACTCGCTGATCTGCTCGGAAAAGTGGCACCAGACGATATCTCTGGCCCTGATTCTCTTCAGTAACTATTATGCCTTCTTCAAGCTCCTCAGAGACAGAATAGTCCTAGGAAAAGCATACTCGTTCCCAAACAGCTCATCAGTCCAGAAAGTCAGCTAGAGCTCCTGTTGTTCCATTAGAACAGGATGAACATGCCTAAGAGCTATGTATTTTTTTTTTTACAAGCAAGATTTGTGTCACGTTTTTGTCCTGAATTGCCATAAGAAAAAATAAATATTTTTGTATTACTTTACAAAGTGTTTCAGATTTATTCAATCCTGGCTGTTTAAAATAGAAAAATCAAATGTCTCTTTGGTTGTGCAGATTTCAAACGTGAATTTCAAGAAATAAGAACCTTTGCTGTGTTGATGTCTTACAAAGAGCAAGAGAGAGAGTTAGACTACCAATTCTCTATGCAGCACTGACTTAACAGGCTGTTTAAATGCTGGACATTAATAATAACAGCACCAAGAAGAGGACAAATGTAAAGACAGAAAGGGGTTAAGCTCCTCTAATTTTAGGGTTAATTTAGCAAACAAGTGAGTAAAATTGTACTGCTCATTAAAGAGAAAATTTCTCATTTTCTTCTTATTAATAAAAGTCTTTAGCATCTGCAAATGTAGAGGAATGTATCAGCTTTGCACATCTAGAGACAGACATGGTTTTCGTTTTTGCTTAGCCACTTTTAATGAAGTGGGACTTCCGATCCTTGCCATGCATTTTAAAGTTGATTCAAGATCTAGATTCTGGCCTATTCGAACACTTCAATCAAAAAACACTGCTGTTGTAAATTTGACTGTAGGTTTATGATTTATTGCAGGTGGGTGAATCCCTCCTGGTGTCATGTCTTTTTGGCAATAAGTGGTTCTACAAGTGGTGATTTCTTCCAGGGTTGCTCTGAGTTTATCTCCATCTATATAACAATCAGCTGATTAGATCTGTTGTCCCTGCTGACGAAAAATTACCAGATTTTTTCAATATTTCCTCTTTTTTTTAAACATAGTTTAAAGTACAGTGATAATATGGTAGCAGCCAACATATTATTTTATTGTATTTCAATACTTTTCATGATTTCAGTGCTCAAATGTTATTTAAAATATTTAAACATGTGAAGAGCCACCTGAACTGCTTGGTTCAAATATTTAGTCTAGAAAATTTTACAGAGGGCAAAGAAGGCACATAAAGGTAAGGCAGAGTGGCAAAGCTGGACCTAAATCTCTCATAAATGGGATCAAATCTTTTATTCTGTCATTTTCTTTTATTCTGTCATAAATTTTAGTTATGAGCTTATTGAGAATACGGTTTCCAGTAATTAAATGATGACATATTCAGAAAAACAACTTTTAATTACCGTACTGGACTGAATTCAGGGATTAGGAGCTCTTAAGAGGGTAATATTAAATCTAAACATATATATTATAGTGTACTGTACATGTTGCTCGCTCTTCAAAATAAATCTCATTTTAATGTTGCCTAAAATAAAATAAATCAAGAAACAGTATAAATTATATGTTTTTGATAAATTAATGATTTTTGTAATCTACACTTAGAAGAAGAAAAACTTAATCTCAAGTACATCATATCTTATTATAAGAGGAAAAAATCATTATCATATTTACCATTACCAGTCCACAAATTAAATGGAAAATCTTTACTTATTTAGATCAGTTTTTGCAGTGTAATACCAAATCATCTTGTGATGACATGAGATTACAGAAGAGGCTGTCTATAACTGATTTTTCCCCCCCTGCACAAATAATTAGAGGTTAGTTAGTTTTAAGCTCCAGCTGTATTAATATCACAGTTTTAATCTGTCAGATCAGGGGTCTGCAACCTTTGCTTTGGGACTAAAAAAAATCCTAAGCAACATGCAAGCCATATTTATTTATTTAGTTAGTTGTGTTTTTAATTCTTTTTTCTCTGACACAATGGGGAAAAAAACGTTGCTCAGTTGCCACTGCTCCTATGGGTACAAAATATGGTGGTTACAGGCAGGGGCGGAGCTAGATGGGGGGCCAAGGGTGGCCATGGCCACCTTTAGCCAATCATTGGCCACTCCTACCATTTTCTTTCCTCAGATACAGATGGTGGCAGCAGTAATCTCTCAAGTGGAATGCTCTAAACATTAAAATGTTTCATATATTAACAGTTGCTTGACAACAAAAACACTGTGGTTTATTATGCATATCAATATACTAACATTAAAGATGATTATACAGTATTCAGGCTCTTTTCAGAACTAGATTTTGTGTTTTATATATATATACATAAAACAGAAAATGCAAGTCATCTAGGAGTCTTAGATAAATCAGAGTCATAAATAAATATTTTAATAAAAACTTATTAAATAATCAATGTATGACTTTATTGATCTCACAGTGGAGAAATTTGCTTTATGTAGATATTAATACTTGTAAATATAAATTTTATGAAGAATGATTATTGATAAAATAGGTAAGTAATGACAATGGAAAAGATATTTGCCTCAGAACTTAACTCTGAAAGAATTTTATCCCCTATGCTTTTTATCTAGGAAGCATGGATGTTTAAATATGTGCATCTATTTGTAAGCAAAGGCTTTCGGAAAGTATAGTTGGTCTAGATTTAAAAAATATGATGTTTTGCTCATTAATTTTCCTGTTGGAACAGTCTACATTGGTTATTGCATGGCCACCCTTATTAAAATGTTCTGGCTACGCCTCTGGTTACAGGAAAAAGGTGTTCCACCTGTTTGGTTTATCTGCTGTCAGTCTAACCAGAGCTCGGCGTGCTGCTGGCCCTTTAAGGCGGATAAAGGGAACAGCTCCCGCTGCGCGTCGATGCCGCGCGTTAAAACACCTCATTATTAATTCCCCCACTCCACAGCTGCCGCTCGGATCATTTACCCCGCATCGTGATTTCTAGAGGTTAATTTCTACAAAGTGTACTTGGACGGTTTCCTTTGCAGAGGAGAAGAAATGCGACACCGAATCCAGCCGGTTGGCTCTGTGGTGCGTAATTGATTCGGTAAGTCTTCTTTGTGTCATCTATTGACCATAAAGCTGTTTACACGTCTCGGATTTACCCACACAGCTCCCTTTTATTTGTTCACACATTATTCCTCATTCATGACATCTATAATCTGCATGTAACTCCCAGAAAATGAGAATTTCAGCGCACAAAGTTGCCTTTGTTACTAGTGGCCATCTTTGGGTTGCACTTTGGCGCAGTGTTTAAATGATAAATCCTGAGTGTTATCATCTATTGTGGTTAGATAAAGGGCGCCCTAATGTAATCCTTTATAAAACTACCTGAGTAGTTATTATAATGCCACCTCCGACTTAAAACTAAACATTACAGGTTGAACCACAGTGCGCTGATGGTGCCCTTGTCATTTAAAGCAAAGGTATAAGCAAGCAAAGCAGTTTTGTAGCTTTCCCATGCCAGCAGGGGGCGCCCAAGAGCAGCTGTACCAAGCTACAGCTTTTTGCAGAAAGTAATCAAGTTAGTATTTTATTTAATACACTAAAGCCACATATAGTTAATCAGTTTCTTTCTATGTGGGCTTAAATGTCAATTTGCATTATTTTTTGTTATCCTACTTTAAGCATATGAGCGAGTTCACTTATAAATTAGGAAAATATTTAATGCAAATTAGCACATTAATTCCTCGGATGGATTAAATATCTGAAAACATTTTAAATTGGGCCATAACACTTTACTTTTTGTGAAAGGACGAGTGAGTCAAGACACCCGCCAATTATTTAATTAATAAAGGTATGCTTAATAACAGAATAATGCAATAAACTAAATATTTTCGAGGTTGATATTAATGCACATTGTGAGACTACAACTGAAAATAACAGTTTGATAAATTCTGAGAAATAGAACAAAGACCACATAAACTTGTAAAAATCAAATGTTTCAAATCAAATGTGCAGATCAATTTGCACAATTGCCTTTGACCTTGAGAAAGTGAGTCTTTCAGTTTAGGAACGCTAGCCTTAAACCTTTCGTATCTTTATATATACGTGTCGTATACAGCTGGCCATTTTATGCCAGCTCAGTTCTCCTGCACAAGAAACGTAAAGCACTTCTCCACAGCAGCAGTGTTTGCTCAAATGAAAGTATTGGATCTTAAAAAAACAGAACCAATTACAGGGCAATTTAAAAATTCTGGAGTTTCTTTGATTCATTTTAGTCCAATTCTGCTTTTAACATCATAAACCCTCATGACATTGAAGCAAGATCCATAACTGTACTTCCATGTTTGTTTCCGTATTCTAATGCTACACCTTCAGATTTGTAATGTTAAAAGGATTAATAACGGAGTTATTTAGTTTATAGGTGGGTCTGTGGTGAGTGATGGAAAGTCCCAAAAGCAGGATCCATTTAGGGCTGCATTAAACCTTTGGATCGCTCCTCTAATGTTGTAAATTGTTTACCTAGAAAGGAAAGTGCTTTGAATGTGTGCATCATTCAGCCCTCTTAAGGCTTTTCCCTGTATCATGTTACAGGCTTTCTGAAGTGCAGTGCTGCACTCAGATGGCTCCAACTGACAGTCAAAAATGAATGCTGCTGCTGCAGTTAAGCTTTTACAGATATCCTCATGATTATGTCCCAAGAGTATTTTCGAAATCATCAGATTTTTATGGAAGCTGCTGTGGAGACAAATTAATTCCTCCAATAAAGCCTTTCACCTAAATAGCTATTTATATCAGAGTAGGAGGATGTGCGATTTGAGATTTTCTGCGGCGCTATTCTTTGATGCCTTTGGTATAACTCAGTCACCTCCAAATGTGCAGAGACAGGATCTGGTTCTGCAGTACTAATTTTGGCAGTCAGACTCTCTGCTGGGGTCCTGGGGGAGGATGGAGGGGGGGCTCTGTTCTTCAGCTTCCTACCTTTGTTGTCTCAGGACATCCTGCACCTAGGCCTGGCCGTCCTCCCCCTCCTGCCCTTTCCCTCAACTCGACTGAAACTGGCAAGCATAAATGAACGGCAATGGAAGACAAGCGTAAGAAGCGCAGCCCAAAGGTGTCTCTCCCTCAGCCTCCTCCGCCACCCATCAACCCCCGCAAGCTCTCTGTCCTGCCTGCCAGCAAAAGCGCCACCTTCTCCCTTGGCCTGCCGCAGCCCCCCTCCCCCAAGAACAGGAGCAAGTATAAGAGATCGATAGGAACACCGGGACAGCCGAAAGAGGCTTTCACACCTGTTGTGGCTCCGCCAAAGACAACAAGGTTTGCATCTTAGTGTTATTGACCAGTTAAACCGGGCTTTAGAAACTGATAACATGTCTTGTTTTTATTTTTTTGTTTGTTTCTTAGAGCGCACAGGGAGAAGCCCAGGGCTCCACAGCCAGCTGGGCCCAGTAAAGTGGTCCAATCATCCCCCCTGCAGCACTCCTTTCTAACAGACGTCTCAGATGTGAGAGAGATGGAAGGAGGCCTCCTCAACCTCCTCAATGACTTCCACTCAGGCAAATTACAGGCGTTTGGTAAGATAACCTCTATGTGGGAGCCTGGTCAGGGAATATTCTGTTACAGGCTTAAAGAAATAACAGCTTTGTCATTTGATTCGGACTGAAATCAAGAAGCTGCATAGCTTTTTATATGTAAAAAAAAAAACAAAAAACTTTTGAATTTATCAGAAACAGGAGGTCAAGCTGAGTTTGTTTGATTTGTAGGAAAGGTGTGCTCCTTTGAGCAGCTGGAACATGTGCGTGAGATGCAGGAGAAGCTGGCGCGACTCCACTTCAGCCTTGACAGCCATGTGGAGGAGCTTTCAGAGGATCAGAGGAAGGGCGCATCTGATCACAACCTGGAGCACCTGCTGTGCAACGTAAGCATGAGTCAGAGCAGCATGAGTCAGAGAGCAAAATCGCTGTGATGGCAAATCCCATAATGCTTTGTGAGGAGAGTTCTCTGCGCAAAGCATTCTGTGATGTATCTGCCTCTTCTGAGGCCTTTTTCTTCTCATACACTTCGTAGACACTTTTTTTCTTACGAGGTGAGCTTCAATAATTAGCTGAAACTGTAGTTCACCACATATATGCTTGAAACTGCGCATGCGGAGAAAAAGATGGCTAAAGCTGAGCATACACTGTACGAATTTTTGCCCTTTTCAGGCCGATTTATAGCCCGATTGTGTGTCGTGTAGTATACAGGGGGTAATGAGGGGCGATCAGCCACTCACGACTACCTATGAGGTGTTTGAAATTCAGTCGGCTGTTGTGGGCAAATCTCTCAGTGGGCATGCGCGAACAAGGATTCTTCTTCCTCTCGGACGAAAACACAGAAGCATGGCAGGGGTGCAATTGAAAAGGAGTCTTTATGTAAAATTGAAAGTCTGTAGCCATGTTTGCTCAGCCATGTCTTTGTCAAAATACGTCGTCGCCTTTTCTTTTTATGGCTTCCAGCACACAAAATTGCACAAATTGCCAAGGTAGCGCGTTTCACTCTTGTGAGTTTCATATTCTTCTTTTACTGTTTTGGCTTCCGGATAGACAAGTCAGAGTAGCGCCATCTCACCGCGGAGCTCAGTCTGACGTGGTTTTTAGGTGTACAGTGTGAGCAGGTAGATCGCACAGTGTGAGAACATGCATCGTGAGTTGTGAACTTTTAAACCTGCGGGTTTGTCATTCAGTGTGAGCTGCAGCTGCATGCAACGATTGAAAAAAATCATACAGTGTATGGCCGGCTTAACTGGGGAAGAGTACGTAGGATGGCCATGCGTAAACTTATCAACAGAATGATTGACAATTAGGAGGACCACTTGTTTAGATGATCCACCTGGAAATAAATGGTTAGGGATTCAGTCACAGTCTTAAGGTCCATAGTAACCCATGGAGGAGCGGTTAAGATCCAAACTCAGGTCTCAGCAGCATCAGGGAGGTTGTCTGATTATTGCTTTTGATTCAGTGCTTCGTTTTATATAAATTCTTTAAACAGTTGGTGTCTGAAATATGCGATATTCAGACACTGCTTTTTAACCAAGCTTCAACAACATTAAACAGGCCTTAACAAAAATTATGGCTCCTTTAACTTTTAGATTTAGTTTCAATCAATGCAATAAGTTGATTCCTGTTATTCTCAATGAGATGTCTTCTCCTCTCAGCAGGTATTTTGGTTCCATTTCTTTTAATGCAAGAAGCGAACATTGAGAAGCTTAAAGCTGCTAAGCTCTCGAAGTGAAGCACATTCTTCAGTCCAGCAGCAGGGAACCTGATTATCTCCATTGTTCAGCTGCATTGATCAGGGAGCTATGACACAATGCTTCTGGAATGGGGAAGGGATAAACTGTCAGTTAGATGGTGATTCCATCGTTTCCTGATAACTTGTGGAATGAGCTCATCAATGCCAGAGACTTAAAACTGCTTTTTGGATTCTATATACAACAAAGATGTTTTACCACCTGTCTCTAAGCAGTGAGCAGAGAGATTCTATTGTTAGTTTGTTGTCAGGCGCTCAGTTGGCAACCCCCCACCCCCATCCGCCTAGCCACCCTCCCACCGGTGCGCCGGGGTCGGTGTGTTTATTGCAGGAAAGTTTGAGTGTCATGTGTGAGAGAGGTGATGAAAAAAAAAAATAAATAAATAAAACCCTGATTAAGATTCAGTTGTCAGGAACGTCTAGTAATGTGTAGGCTTTAACAGCACTGTATGGCAAGCTGTTTTGAAATACAATAACCCCACATTCCAGTTGAGCTACCATTAAAAATCGATATTTGCTTCTCTCCATATAACTTTTATAGATGACTTAAAACAGGATTTCAATTAATTTTTTTTAGCGCTCTTTCTTAATTATATGAAAGCTGAGTGAGAAAGAGAGAGATTACGTTCTTGTAGTTTTTACTTGTCATTATTTTTATTTCACGTTTGAAGTTGCCATGGCTTCCCTTCAAGCTAGTTATAAATGATGTCTTTTGTAGGTTCTAAAAATTGCCATTAGTTGAAATACTAAAAAATTTCTTGTTAATTCCAAATCGGTTTGGTAAAGGCGTTCACTTTCCTGATTTCTGCATTTCTTTAAGATCTCTAAAATACCAAGATGCATTAAAACCTTTCAGAAAGCAGAATATTTTCCCTTTCAGGTCAACTATTTCTTTGTACATACATCTTTATATAGAATGACTTTTTTTAGTTATTGGATTATAATTTCAGCATTTATAGAAATGTGTACAGTTTCTTTTTTGTAAATTTAGATTTCTAAAATGTGCCAAATCTTGCAGATATCTTAAGTTTGCTAAATATAAATACCTGCATGTGGCTTATTATACGATACATGGGCTTGCCACAGGGGGATATTCATGGCTTGAGCAGATGGGCTTGAGAGAAAATTTGTTTTTTGAGGAAAAGAAGCTGATCGTATGCTTCTGTGAACAATGATCAGGTAATAAAGGTTCAATGGAAGCACATGCTGTTATGTAATCTGATCAAGTTTAGAGAGGGCTGCTCTGATCTACCAGATAATGTTCTATTTTTGGCTGTTTGATTTTCAATGCACATCTATTTACTGCTTTGTTTCCACAGCTGGAGGAGCTCAGCACCTCAATGTATCCTTTTCTTTACTAAGCACTTGTTTATTAACAGCGTTACCGGCACCAAGCGCTGTGGAAAATATGTTTTGATTATTTGTTTGTATTTGGTAATTCCTTAATGTGTCCAAACTCAGACAAAAGCTCCACTTGGCCGAGAATCAGGATCTGCCCAAGACATCTGGTCCCTGACAAGAAGGAGGTGCTCAAAATGTTGAGAAAGCGCACATCTTCTGGGAACATAAAAAAATATATATATAAAGACCATTAAACCTGCTGCCTTAGAAACAGGATTTGGAAGGTCTAAAGGAGAAGGAGGGAGGGGTCATTTCTTCAACCCAAACAACGGAGCTGAGAGGATATCCCTATGATTTAATGCAGCCAAGCATTAAAATAAAACGTAACGGAAATAATCGTTATGAGCGACTCCTTCATAGCAAACACTCAAAAAAAAGACCAGAAACTAGTCTGTACCGGAATGTGAGAAAACTTGTTTAGAATTTTAATGTTTTTTTGCAGATAGGTTTAATTTTAGCTCCTTTGTCCAGATTGGTTCAAACTTTTGTGAAAAATGAAGCACATTCCATAAGAGTAGCATTCATGCCAACACTTCTGTACCATTCAGTGTGATTTGGCTCTTTACAGGAATCTATTTCTATGTTTAAATGCAAAACATTTGATAAATGGCAGCAGGGTTTTTACTCCAGAGGTTTTAAGGGAGTTGAGCTATTGGCATCAATTCCTTCCTCAATTTGATCTTTTCTAAAGGTTTACTGCAAAGAATATAAGTTGCACTTCAATTTGAACTTACTGTTTTAGATCTGCAGCACAAACATGTTGGTTTTTATCTATATTGATAATGTAATCTAAATGTGTTTTGCCATAAGTTTAGGTATTTAATTTATGAGTCAGACTTGGTTGTAGCTTCTTTCATTGCTAAAGATAATTTATTTCACACTGCAAACTTGTTGATCCAGTTGCTGTGAAAAGCTGCAGCAGGCAGATATCTCTGTACAGTGCTTTATGAAAGTGGCAGCTAACCTCATAGTCTGAATTGTATTGAACACTACATGTGCATGTCTGTAAGTTGGGGGAAAAAAGTTTATTTTGAACTGTTGTTTAATTAGAAAAGTTAATCATTATCCATACTCAATTTTATTTTGAAAAGTAATACTAATACACCAATAAAAAACCTTTTTAATCCACAATTTGTGGCGTTTTGGAATGATTTACTGAACAACACGCACTTAATCAAAGCTGTTTTTGCATGAATTACTGCATCACTTGTGGTTCTGCTGAGGTGTTAAGTAAGCCAAGCTTGCTTTAGCAGAGTCTGGCACACAGAAGTGGCAATTAAAGAGAGGTGTCAAAAGTATTAATGTTTATTACTCAAGCAGAAACATAAATTCTACTGTTCAAAAACACTCTTGTGGAAGCTAGAGTATCAACTCAAGTAAAAGTGTAAAAACACCACTTTTAAATCTTCTTAAAAGTATAAAAGTAAAAGCAATGCAGGAAAAAAATGTCAAGGACAGATGCTTTAAATCTTATACTGGCTACTGCACTACCCTGTTAAAGAAACATTGTTCTACAATTCTGGATGATAACTTCCTCATACTTAAATGTCTTAGCTTTATTACTAATTAAAACTGTTAAATTTAACTGTCCATCTTAAATTTAATCAATTTATTTTGCTATGTGGTGAACAACAAGTTGGTGCAGGACAGAGTCCAACCACAAAGAAATAGTTTTGATAATGTTGATGTTTTTTTTTTAAACCAACAGGCCATAATAAAAAATGGGCTTAAATGAAAGACAACTAACAAGTCTATTTTATAGAATGTAAGGAGTAGAAATTGGAGAGGATTCCAAAAAATAAAAATGTAAAGAGTAGCAGTGAAAAATTTTCTAAAAAATATTTACTCCTGTAATAGCCAAAATTTCTACTAAAGGTAATAAAGTATTTGTAGTTTGTCACTTGACACCTCTGCAATTAAAGAGATTTATTGATGGACCTGGCAACTCTTTGGTGCTCGGACTGCAGCGGAAGACATGGAAGCAGCGATGAGATTAAATAATCATTGATTCGGATTCGATTAGTCTTCCACCGAACCCAGGCACTGATGGTGGAGTGGAGGGCAGAGGTAAAGGAAGCCAGGAGGAGATGGGGTCGATGCTCAGCTGAACACCAGGAGAGTGAATAGAAAGCTTTAAGCAGAACCTTACAGGACTTGGTGGTGACTGGCTGGAGCAGAGGCCCATGATAAGGTTTTAAGTGTTTTTTCTTTCACTTAATTTTCCATTAGTATACTTTGATACAGCATTCTGTGAACAGTAAATGTTATTTTACTAATGACTAACTGTGGAGTAAGGCACCTCCTCATCCTCTTTGTGTGAGGTGACTCTAACCACTGAAAAAATGTAAAGTCACTAGAATCCTTGATCGTTTAGGCTTAACTTTAAAATTCTGTATTTTAATTTTTTTTGTTCTTAGGCATAGTTCAAATTTTTTGTTTTTCTATTTACCTTTTTTTCGAGTCACCAAAATAATAAATTCTAGACACAAGTTTCCTCGGTATTAATTCTTTAAAATAGATTTCAGTTTTTAATAATTACCTGGCATACTTATTGTTTTCATACGTTCAGAAACTTAGGACGTGTTTATATTCAAAGGGCTCCAAGTTTTTACATTTGGAAACACATTTTTAGTTTTCTTTACAAGTGTACTTCTTAAAAGCCTTCAAGTTCAAGACATATTTTAGCTTTTAGATCAAATTTCAATCGAGGTGTTTTGTTTTCCATTCATAATTTAGTATTGTAAAATAATACAAATAACAAATTTACAGAACAAAACTTTAAAGTAAAAAAGCAGTTTCCAGAGAAAAAGACTTAACTTCTTTCAGCTTGTATCTGAAACTAACTTTTTTTTTTTAATAAACATGTTTGCTGTACCTGAAAGAAACAGTGCAGTCGGTAATAGGGAAATAAAACTGTTTATTCATATATCTCTTTCTTTTAGTTCACAAATCAGCTCTATATAAATTACCGTTGGAGATAAAAGGCTACTTGAAGACTGGCACGACACGGAGACTGAAACAGCTGACTTCTTCCTGTTTCTCAGGCAATTCCAGGTGTAAAAACTCCCTTTTCCAATCTTGTTTTAGGTTTCTGTGTATACAAACCCTCACATAAAGATTATACAGCTTTGATTGTTTTTTTCTTTTTTGTTTAGATTCGGTCATGCAAACAAAGAAAATGAGTACAAACTCAGCACATCATGAGTTGTAGACCATCACACATTTGATAAATTAAAACCAATTTTTACCATACTTAAACATTAAGCTAACACTGTGCAAATACACAACTGAGCTGTACAAAAGTATATTGTTCCTTTTTTTTCTGTTTTTCTTTTAAATCTCATGTCACAAATCTTCTGCCTGGCGTTTCAAAAATATCACATCATCTCTGTTAAAACATCAAAAATATACACCTTTGGGTCCCTGTCTTGTTAACCTTGTTTTTGTGCGGTTTTACATTCTGTAATAGTGTCAACAGTACATAATGGAGGAAAGCTTTGACGAGAAGCTACTTTTCAAAGTGCAGAGAGAGCAGGTTGAGTGTGAGTAAGACCTGATGTCAATGTGTTAACATTTCTGTACCAGAGTAAATGTCACTGATAAAATAACTACAACAACCAAAGACCTTGAGGACTTGTTTATATTGATATAAAAGTGCAGGCACTATAAGAAACGTAGAACATTTCCTTTTTTCAAGTAAGATCAGCCTCGATGCTCTCTTTCAGTATATGAAGCTGTGTGGATGTTGCTTTTTTCCTTTATTTTAAAGTCTTTAAGAACTCGTTCAGACCTTTCTGGACATTAGCAGGCTGGGTGGCGGCACACTCGCTCAGGCTTGATCCCATCTGGGTGTGAAGGGCTTGGCACAGCTTGGCCGTAGCACTCCGAACGCTGCCGCCACGGCCGTGGATGCTGCCGCTGTGGGTGGACGTACCCAGCAGGTGCCACAATAAGGGCAAAACCTTCTGCTCCACAATCTGAGGCTTCCGGGGGTAGAGCTCTGTAACAAGGCCTGCCATCATAAAATGTATTGACAATGAGAGAGATGTTTTACCCATAACCTGGCTATAATACTAGTGCCATTTAAATTGTTTTCATATTTCAGTAATTCAGTCAAAAGGTGAAACCCTACAGAACCCTGTAAAGACATTTCCCACCTTAAAGATTTCCCTTAATTTTGAATTTTTGTCACAAAAGTTTCAGAAAATCAAAGAAAATAATTTAAAAGAAAAAAGAGAAAGTATTAATAATGCTGTTTTTTAATAATGGTCAGAATACATAATTCCATAAATTAAACAGATCAAAGAACAAATTAGAAACAAAGGAACATTAAAATTGTTCAGCCCATAAAGCTATTTAAGGTTCCAGTAAATTAGACTGAAGCAATGTTAAGAGTAGCTGCCCAAAACAAAATCACTCCAACATCAGCAACTCACCTTGAACCTAACCAAATACCGGTAACCTAAAACGTCTCTCTCTCTCTTGCATTAGTTAAGATTGTCCCAAAAATGGCCCCCATTGGAGTTTCAATGCAAAATGCCGGCAATCAGGGGCCATATACAAGCCAGGCTTTAACATAAGCAGTGGAAATGTAGTGAAAAACAGAAACAGCTGACATCAAAATTCTAAAATGGCAATATGAAGTATTGTGAATGATCATGATCAATAGTTGAAGTGTTTGCTGCAGCTAAACAGAAAAAAAGGGCTAGGGACATTAAAGACGATGTTATGTTCACCTGCTGCATACAGGAAGGCATTAGGATGGAGAATACAGATTTACTCTGAATAGAATTCAGAAATCCTTGTTTTGTGCCAAAAAACTCAGCCCTGAAATTATACCAATAATATGCTTATTTTCTTTTAAACAGCAACACAACACTTAACAAAATTGTGTCGCTTGAGACTTCTGGTCCATTTGATGTCAGTACAGAAAAACTTGCTCCTCTGAATCCCCCCCTGTTTTGAAAGAGGCTTGGGGGCGGGGACAGCACAACTGCACTGGAAAAAATTTAGAAATAAGTAAAAAATTCTTAAATGAAGTGTTTTTACCCTTAATTGAGAAGATAAATGACATAGTTTGCCAATGGAATGAGTATTTTTGCTCTTAAAATAAGATAATTAGATAATATGCACTTGAAATAAGACAATGCAAGTGTGTTTTCTTATTTTAAGTGTAAATTGTCTTGTTCCATTGGCAAAATGTCTCTTTTACCTCCTCAATCCAAGAAAAAATGCACTTATTTTAAGAAAAAATTACTTATCTAGATTTAGATTTTCTCCAGTGTGCATCACTTTTAGCGACCACGCCCTGTTTAATGTGGCGAGTATAAACCTAAATAAAAGTTATGCTTAAAATCCTTCTATTGTTATTAAAACATTTCTGAAGACGTAAGAGATGTTTCAGCCTCAATGACGTTTTTTCTTTAAACTACATCGCAGATGTCACTAACTAGCAGGTATGTAATACATCAACAGTTTGGTCTGGATAGCTTTTCATTTAATTATTCACTCAATCATTAAACAATTTAGACAGTTGGCCATTTACTTAGGGATCTTGGAATATGAAAGCCATCTGATGATGTGAAACATTTCAGTTGTATTAAAAAAAGAGCTGTTACTGGGAAATACTGCCTGTTTTAATAGTCATTATACAAAGAGATTATTATAAATAATTAATTTTTGTTCATTCTGATGATGGAGGCTTACAGTTACTAGCAATACAAAAGTTGGCAATTGAAAGAAAAGAAAATTTATTGAAGACAAAGTGGTGAAATAATTAAAACAGTTGGGGAGATAAGCCTTACGCATTAAATTAATCACGTATTGATTGAGTGATTAAAGTGTCACGCACAGCGAAGCACCCAGCCTACATAAGACATTATGATTACACAGCCCAAAAGGAACGCCAATATGACTGTCAAACACCCGAGACATTTACCAAAACTAAATTACTAGACAAATTACTACAATTATGGCGATTCAATCATCTCTGTTTTAGAGTAACTGGAAATAAATCCCTCTGTGTGAGTGTAATTTATTGAGAGGAACACGTAGCCTGAAAAACAAAGATGTCTCGCATACCTGCAACCTTTTCGATAAGATCCACCTTAGCTTTGCCGCTTAAAAACTGGGCCTTGGTGCAGAAAGGCTGAAGAAGAAGAATATTATCTGTGCAAGGAAAACAAAAAGACACCATAAGACACTGATCACAGAATCTGAAATAACTTCAAGTTTCAAACATGCAACACAAATACCAAGATTCAAAATAAGTGCATTCATGGCGTCAATAGCAGCATAGTAGACGGCATTGTTCTTGGAGTTGAGGTGATTGTCCACAACTGCTGGGACCAGGATGTGAACCACTTGGGACAGACTGTCCTTCAGCAAACTGATTATTTTGGGCAGAGACTCCAGGGCATAAAGGTTGACCTTGCTGTTGGACTCTTGCAGTCTGGCTTTAAAGGCATCAAACACCTAAAACAACAGAAAACAAAATCCAACGCTCAATAGACCAGCAAACAATGACGAAACAACCGTGGCGACGCCCGCTAATACAGTAAAATATTGATAATGCAAAGAAGTTGTTTCACCAACCGGAAATATACAATTGATGACGATGCTGGGGTTGTTTTCGCAGTCAGCCACTAGCTGATCAATCCCTTTGATCCGCTCTCGGAAGTCCTTCGAACCCAGCAGACCTGAGATCTGCTTTATGTATTCAGTTTTGTCTGCAATGCTCTGCGTCTGATTTTTACAGTTGCTATTAGACTCCCTGCAGATACAAAAAATAGCAGCTGGAATCCTGTAACTCTGTTTGCATCAGTAGCAGACTGTACATTTGATTCAGATGCATCTTTTTAAGCATGATGTCTACCATGCTTAGCAAAAGTATTATTGCCACTTGCATCACTCCCATTTGTATCTCCTATTAGTAATTTCTCACGAGCCATGCGGATGACACAGCAAACAGGTAGAAGAAAGTCAGATGAGACTAAAATTGAACTTTTGGGGCTACAGAAAGTCTGTTTTGCAGCAAACTATTACTATCCTGCTAAATACAGCCTCCATACAGTGTCACTCAAGGCGGTGGCAGCATCATGCTTTGGGAAGCATCAACCATCTTTCCTTTTTAATCCTACCTCACACTGAAGAACCACTTTGTATGCCTAAAGTTTGGTTGTTTATGACAGGTGAAAACGTTTGATGGGTGTGAATACTTTAGCTAGACCTTGCTTGCTCACCTGTTGGTCTGGTTGAGTTGCTCTCCGTTAAGAGATGAAGCCCTGACCGTACCGCTGCCTGGCAAAGAGCGTCTCCCTCTGGCTGACTGAGAATCTTGGAGCATCTCGCCCAGACCCTAAAACCACAGAAATGATTAGGTCAGGTGACCAACAGAGACAAGTATGATGGAAAAACAAACAAAAACGAAATGTATACCTTTGTTCTGAGAGTCAGGACAGTTTCTCTGACAGCTTGCAGGTCTTTGTTGGGAATATACTTTTCCAGGTTCTTGTCAAAGTCAGGGTGTGATGACAGAGAGAGCAGCATCCGACGACCAAAGTACCTATGAGGGCAAAAAAAAAAAAAAACACCTGCAGTCATCATCTAAAGTAAAAAAAGCCCCACAAGTCAAAACATAAAATTCTTATCTTTCTACACACCTGGCCTCCTGGGAGGAGTCTTGTGAAAGTTTGCCGATGGCAGGTATAATCCTTTCGGTTAGGTCTTTACCTCCAGATAAGAGACGGGCGGCACCAACCTTCTCTAACAGGTTAGCCAGATGATAAGCGGTGCATTTTCTCACCACTGGGTTAAGGTGACTGTCAGAAGAAAAAAAAAATTAGATATATGGATTTTGGGTGAAATTAACTCTTACCCTGTCTGTATTCTGACCTGATTCCCCCACTGAGTAAAGCACCAATGCCGCGAGTCGGGGTGCAGTGCTGCACCATGCAGTCCAGCGCTGCATCGACATCCTGCCTAATAAAAGAGTTGCTCTCTCCAGCCTTCTGCAGCAAAGCTTTGACTGTCCCCTCCAGCTCTTGGTCCATCAGTCTCTGCAGGTGTGTGTACAGGTCGCCAAGCGTACACACTGCCACCCTGGACACGCCTGAGCGAAGGTTCTTCACCTAACGGGTGAGAAGGTGGTACAGAAAAGGGACGGTTACTAATCTTTGACATAAGTTCAAGGTTTGCTGTGTCTTTCTAATAATTAATTAATCAAAAGCTGATTTTTTTTGGGAGCAGTGTTGTATTATTTATTTTTTATCACCAGCAGATGGCAGAAAAGCTGCAGCAACCAGCCAACTAAGGTACACATGCTAGGCAAAACATTTATATTAACCATTCACTTTTTTACCTCTTATCACTCACAATCACCAACTGGTTAAAATGTATTATAAATCACTTTATTTAAAAACAAGAATGGAGGTTCAAGATATTTTCTATTTTTAGGATTTTAGTTTTTTATTAATGCACAGAAAGTGAAAATCTATTTCCATTGTAATCAGGCAAAGCAGAAGGGTAACTTACATTTTGTGAAACACAAAATCTAAGTTTTAAATGAGTAAATATTTACTTTGTTTACCTCTTGAATAAGACACAGACAAACTTCATGGAGCCTGCCTTGAAGTGTGTCGGCATGGTTGTAAGCCAAAGAGCGCAGGAACATCAGACCCTCGATCTTCTTCTCCCTGAAAGCAAAAAACACAAAAAATAAAGCAATTATTACATGATTTAAAACTCATCCAAAAAATAAAAATACCTTAAAAGAATACAAGTTAAAACTCTATGGTTCGGTTTCCTCACCAGTCCTCTGAATTCAGGAGGTTGAAACTCTGTGTCAACACCAGCTCAGGCTTTGAAAAGGGACAGAGCTCTGAAGGAGCAGACAGATTTTTCTTGTGTCTCAAAGTGGCATGGCAAAGCTCATCTAAAAATAAAAAAAACACATACAGCTATTAGAATTCATTCCACAGTTCATGCTATAACTTCTAATGTATATGTTTACTTAAAAAAGCACTGTGTGGTTTAAAAAGAACGCTTCTGGATAATGGCACATCTCCAACAGCCTTTTGGATCCACTGACCTGAACTGTGGGAATGCGTAGGTCGGGTTCTGCCGAGGCTAGGTGCCCTTCTAAGGCGAGACACATTTTTTGGGTTGGGTGGCACCTTAGGAGGGCTTGGATGGTGGGCTGTCCTCAAGCTTTTCAATGGACTTTGGGGTTCAGTTGGGCTGGCAGGTCTGATGCTGGATTCATCCGAGAGAAGGTCTGACTTGGTGGATGTCAGTGTGCTGCCATTAAGGTGTAAATCTACAAAAGATTAATAATGACAATCAGCTTCAAAGAATACTACGGGGATAACGTTTTTCAATTGCCAACCTTTAGAACATTTTTACATTTTGTAACCTTGTAACAAAGCATATTGTATTTCATTTGGATTCAAAGCAGATCAAAATATGTTTAGGAGTTAAAATGATTTCAGAACTAAATCCGGCAGGTGAGACTTTAAACTTCCATTTTTCCATCTGATCTACCTAATGTAAATATTATCATCTCTCCAGATGTCCAAAGCTAAGTGAGATACATCTCATCAGAGAGCCAGGTTGTCTTCAATCGAGGGGTGCGCAACATAAATGCATGAAACACGTTTCAGATCGAAAGTCATTCATTATTTTCCTCTAATTTTATAATGATGTGAAACCTTGAATGAGTCACTGCATAAAATCCAAATAAAATTCAAAGAAAATTTTAATCTTCAAGAATATAAATATAAAAAACTTTTACATGCAGCTTATTATGGATTGCATTGCATTCTTACTTTTGATTGGTTCTTTTTTTTCCTCTACAGGCGAACCAGACAACATCTGTCTGACACGATGACGAAGCATGTCTCTTGATTCATCTCCTCTATCTGATAGCTCGTCCGACAGATCCAGATTCTTCAGTCGAATATTATCCCGACCCCTCCTGATATGTCTAACCTTCTGTGGGAAGAAAACACATCTCATTCGCCGCTGGTAACTGGCACTTTGCGATGACTGATTGATGTGAATCAACACTGAAAAAAGTGTGACTAACTTTGGCCTCATCAGGAAGTGAGCTGTCATCACCATCTATTTGACTGCTGTAGATGCCTAAAGAGGGATCAGTGAGAGGTTTGGCAGCCAAATCACCCTGCTCAAGTGACAGAGTAACTCCTGGACGACTGGAGGACAGTGAAGAGCCACACATGCCTTAAAAGAGAGAACAGAAAGATGGCTTAGCAAAAAGCTGAAATATCAGATTTACATCCAAATCTTCTTAAATATAACATATTTTCAGTTGCCTTAAATTGGACTAAATAAATTTAAATAATGTAAAAAACTGGATTTAATCAGTTAGCGGAGAATGGTGCCAGCTATTTAAAGTTTGATTTTCGAGCTGATCATTTCTGGCTGTTGAACTCTGCAGATTATCTGTTTATTTCAAAGAAGGCTGTTTTAGAAGATGTTCAATTAAAAAAAAAATTATCTAAAGTATAAGAGGCAGAGTCAGAAACTCTCACAAAATCTAAATGTATTGGTAGATGAATGCTTTAAAACCGTGTTTCCCAACCCACAATAATCCTACTATAAAAACAAAAAAGGCACTTTATATACTGTATATATCCATACACCTTTTTCCTCCTTTGGCACATTCTTCTTCTTTGACTATTTGAGTTAATGTAAGGAGTACATTTCTCCACTGTGAGATCAATAAAGTCAAACGGGGGTACCCCTATTGGTCCGTGAGTGCATTGCAAGGGGTACATGAAAATATTTTATTTATTAGGTAGTCAAATAAAATAAGGTTGGGCTCTGTTTTGCTTTCTCATGACCAAATTGAAAAATTAAACAAGCTTTTATCAACCAAAAAGTACGTTTTCCTTACATGTTTGATATCACCTTCAGCTTTTGACACACATCAAAGCTGATGTGGGGAGTGATGGCCTAGTGGTTAGGGCATAGAGCTTGGAATCCTGAGGTTCTGAATTCCTGCTCCACTCCCACAGACTGCCACTCTGGGTCTCGGAGCAAGACCCTTAACCCCACACTGCTCCCCGGGCGCCCCACGATGGCAGCCCACTGCTCCCCAAGGGGATGGGTTAAATGCAAAGGTACATTTCTCCAATGTGAGATCAATAAAGTTAAATTATTATTATCATTATCAAAGAGGAGGAACAGACAGGATGCAGAGAAAAGCCTGGGATCAGCTGTCTTTTCCACTGAGCTATCATCAAAGCAGCTCAGTGTCATGATTTAAAAAAGTAAAACTAATTAAGTCAGTCTGACTATAATTTTTGTTTTGCATCTTGTTCCCAATTCATGAAGTTTAAATGTGATTATAAGGAGCTCCAGTTTTATAAATACAGGTTTATATTATTTTTATTTATTTCAATCCCTTACTAACATCCAAGCATGATAATCATGTTTTGTTTTTTGAGATGGAGAATAAAATGCTCAAAAGATTAAGTAAAATAATTTTTATATTATAATCAGTTATTGTACATTCCACTTTTGGAAAATCATCAATACGTTTGATGCTAAGACAAAATGCCCGAAGAGGGACACAAGTCAGAAAAGGTTGGGAAACACTGGTTTAAAGGAATGCAAATGGATGCAAATGTGGATAAGTAGTAATATCAAGGACTGATGGAACAGGATCACACACAAAGCCGATAAAACGTGATCAAATTGTTTAACTGACTTAAACAATTAATTTGACTTTATCAGAAACACACCTCTTCCTATGACTGCTTCAGGTAAGTCTGCATCCAGGGAATTTCTACAGCTGCTGATATTGTGAAACCCTAAAAAACACAGGAAAAAAAAAATCACATTTAACAGATTTAATGAGGTTAAATCAGGATATATTTGCACAAAAAAATCATAGAAGGCCAGTGTTGCTAAAGCTATTTAGAAAAAAGTAACTAGTTCGAGTTACTAGTTACTTCTGAGTTAGTAACTCAGTTCCTGCTCAGTCAAAGTAACTCGTTACCTGTTACAGTAAGCTTGCAGTTACTTTTTCTGATCTAAAGTATCAAAGAATTTGCAAATCTTTCCTGTTAGTTGAATTTTAAAGACAGCTATTGGTTCAACTATGGAATACTAGGTGTTTGTTATTAATTAATAAATAATTAATGAAAAGGTCCACACATCTAAAAACATTGAAATCTAATCTGCATTATTTTGATGTGTGTGGTTTGACAAGTTTCAGTATAATTACGAAGATAATTGTTCTTGTTTATAATATAAGTAAAAAAAGATGGCGTTTTTTTTTGCAAATTGACGACAGTCTTCAGTTGGCTAGAAAATAGGTAAGAAGCTGAAAAAGAATGCTTTTACTACTATTTCGGAAATAATATCCTAGTAGGGCTGTATAATCCCAGGATTTTTGCGTTAAAAAGTGTAAACCGTGTTGATTAAAGGCAGCCAGCTTTCCATCAGTGGCTCTGTGTCACCATCTCTTCTCTGACACATGCCCTTACACCAGGAAACTGTAGTCCTTATAAGTAAAGAATAATGAATCTATTTAAAGCAGTTTAATAAACAGTGGCGGCTGGTAGAGTTTTCTCCAGGGGGGGCTATAAATTTAAAATAGACGTATACCAAAAACTAATTAAACATATACTAAGGTATCACACTAGTGTATTTATAAGAATGCCAACAATAAAAAAACATTATAAAAACACTTTATAAAAACAAATCACAATTTCATGTATAGGTTTACTTTTTGTACATAAATCTTGCCCTTCTGAGGCTTGGTGAAGGCAAATCTGTGTTTTGCGTAGTCCAATATTGTTTCACAAACCTAAAAAATAATTATTTTAATAATATTTTTTTACGTATAAAAACTATTTATTTTCTGAGAATGTGTTTATTTAAGAGCAACTATTCAAATGAACAAACATCCAGAAAAAGTTCGCTATATTATATTATTTTCAATGTGAATCCCAGATTATTCATGCTTCTTTGCCTTTTATAGAAAGTGCTTTAAATCAGTCCTGCCTGTCTTTATCCATGCTGGGTCAGATCCTGACTTGTGAAAAAGAAGGCAGGGAAAGCAGAATACAGCGTTAGCCTTGCTATATGCAGTTAGCCAAGCCTTCTTGCAAAACCAGGTCCTGGAAAAGGACATTTCTTGCACTATTTCTCTCTTTCTGTCCGATGCGTCTCCAACTACCGTGACTCGACCTGTCAATCACCCACAAAACCTCTGCTGTGTGGCTGGAGGTGGTGAGCAAATACATTTCCTGTCACCTCGGGACGTAGCTCTCCTGCGCCCTGAGCCCTCTTTTACCTCTGTATAACAGAGGAGAAACTGAGCATTTACAACTTTTAACAAAGAGTCAATTGGCAAAGATTTTTGCGCCCCAGGGCGGAAACAAAAAAAAAAAAAAAAAACACACGTAAAATTGCATGACGCTTTACAAGTCATTAAAGAAGAAATATATATCTTACATATCTAAGAATTAATTTTTAATTTAAAATTAAGTTATAAATCTTTTTTTTTTTATGCTCAGGGTCATTGGGTGGGTGTGGTGGCTCCCTAGCGGCCTTTATTGGCCAGCCACCACTAATAACGGATAATGGTTTACTGTCTTTTATAAAGTGATTAGTTACAGCGCTATTTACTGGAAAAGTAACGTAGTTACTGTTATGCAATACTTAATAAAGCGTTACTTGCAGCACTGCAGAAGGCTAACCTTTGGCAGGCTTCAAAGCTCGGACCGGTTCGCGGACAGCCGGTTTGATCAGCGGAGGAGAAGGTGCCATTTTCTCTTCCTCACTTTTCATTACTCCATTGCAAAAATGAACTCTCTGCCCAGCAACTCCCACCTCAGATGACAGGTCATTTTTCCGGGAAATTACTGGAGAAGACAAGAAAGCAAATTCAGAAAAAAGACAAGGCAAAAAATAAAATAAAAAAGAGAATATAAAACATTTCATGTTTTTCATACCTTGGAGGCTAGTGAAATCCATGGAAGCAGAGGGCCGTAGCTTTGCAGAATGAACTCTTGCAATGCGAGGTTTCATCACAGAGGAGGCCGAGCCCATGGGACTGTTGACAGATATGGCAAAAAAGAGTTTATGCAAGGAAACTACATCACTTTGCCTAAAATGTCAACTTTGAAGCATGCATGGGATATTTGCTGTCTAACATTAATTACATATGCAGTATCATGTATAAGCATGTAACTCCACACACATTTATCCTGCTTGTGCAGTTTAGTCAGACCTACATGCTTCAGATGCTCACACAAACTCTATTTTCTGACAGATAACCTGAGCAAATATGAATATTCAAAAATGATTTATTGATCCCAAAGGGAAACTAAATGTTGTTGCCACTTGTAGGTTTAAAAAAAAAAAAAACAGTTGTAGACATTAACAGATGTAGGCGGGAAGGATCCCCTGTAGCAGTCTGTCTTCTTTGGAGAAGCCTTTGACAGAGGAGAATGCTTCACTGTTCTACATATTATGAAGCTTCTTTAAGTCATTTGCTCTAATGCTGTTACTCCAGCAGATGATGGCTAAAGAGATCATACTCTATCTATCTAAGCTTCATTAATAATTTACAAATTCAATTGATTTTATTTATTGAGAGAACAAGCAGAACAGTCAATGGAACTTACGATGGGGTGTCTTTAACTATGTCATCAGTCCACAGAATATTACTCCTAAAGTCACAGATTTCAATGTGAGAGACCTTTACACATAGATCCTATTTTCACTGTCTCTGTCTTTCTGTAGAATCATGAACACTGATTTCATCTGAATGAGGCATTCAGAGCTTTACATGTTTATATGGATAACCTCCTGGATGAACTGTTGGATCTCATTGGTATTTAAAGGGAAACCAAAACTTTGGAAATCCTTGCTGGTGAAGGTTCTCAGTCACCCAGGTCATAGTCATCCGAGATAAGTTAACAAAACAAAACACTTGACTTAGTGTCCAAGTTTGAAGACATTTCGCTTCCCATCCAGGAAGCTTTTCAATTCAAAATGTTGTTTTTTTCTGGTGTGAGCTTTGGAAATCCTTATCCAATTTTTTCCAGTGACACAGGCTGCTTTTTTTCATCTGTCTTTCTAAGAATTTTTGGGATAAATGTATGATGCTTTTTTTTTCTAGATATCTGAACCTGTGTCACAGTGTCAAACAGGTTATGTTTAAGAAATTTTATTATGGTACAGGTTTGGCAGGTTTAAGGTCTGGGTTAGTGGTCATATTAAACTTAGGTTTCCCCAAAAGGAATCACTGTTAAAACACCATTTAACAAGTAGAGCAAAGGATGATTTTGTTTTTTTTTATTAATACAGCAGATTTCTGTCACCTTAAGTCTCTCTGATGGTTACATTTGTTTGTTGATTTAAAACATTTAAGCATGAAAAAAATTACTAAAACTATAGAAATATTAAAGTGGAAAAAACTTTCTTACAGGAATATAAGCTTTATTGAAAGTACACGTTGTTAGGCTCTCTGGGGTTTTGTTGTTTTTCTGGTGTGAGTGAGCTTCCTGTACAGAGAGGATCTTTGCTGGTGGATGGGTGGACCAATGTTGCTGGACACCTGAGAACATTCCCCTCTATTGTCCCACAATTTCCTCATTGTGGGTATATAAAGGGATTTTCTTTTCTATTCTATTCTATTCTATTCTATTCTATTCTATTCTATTCAGTTCTATTCATATTAAGATGACTAGCGGGTATATAAGGAGACAAGGATCCCCTCTCTTCCCTGGATGATCAACTCTGATGGTATTACAGCCAAAGACCTAAACCAGGTATATCCTTTGTGATGAAATCTGTCTTCTTGTGAAACTCGTTTAATGTGGACAACATGTGAACCTCATTTAGTCTCCGATCTTAATGGAAAAGGTCTCCTCTGTGTGCAGCTGTTCCAAGTCTTCATTACCTGTCTGCTAACTCCCCATGACGCCCCCCGCTCTCCTCTGCAACTGGTCTGTCTCTTTTGAGTCCTCTCAAGGATACCAACCTCCCCTGTTTCCATCTGACCAGCAGGACATTGCAGTTACCTCTGTCAAACACCACAGTTGGCGCTGCAGATCTGTCTAGTCCTCTCAGTCTTCATCACCTGCCTGTCCTCTCTCCAGCAAGACATCTCTTGCAAGTACCAATGCTCTCAGATCTCACTCACATTCTCCTGGACCTCTGGGGTTCAGTCTGCAAAGCTCGCTGAATCAAACTCATGAAGATCCATGCTGCTGCCTATTTTTATCTCAAGTAAGCAAATCAATCAATCATCAGCAAACTCCTTCCTAATCAGTATGTTTTCTCCCCTCAGACCAACCAGAAAGTTCTTCTGATTTCCTGCAGTTCTATTCCAGATTCTTGTTGCTTTTATAAATAAATCATTAAAATTAACTGGTTCTCAGTTTGATTCTGCATGTGGGTCAAAAAAATCTAAACCACTATGACACAATAAGCCTAAACAGACTAACGAGTCATTGAAATTAATAAAAAAGGGTCATCCTGACCTTGTTTTGATTCCGTTAAAGCTGGAGTTGGCAGCTGAGCTCAGACTTGAGAGTCCACTTTCACTGGCTGAGCTGGTGAGCACCGGAGAGCTTTGAAACGGTGAGTCCAAACCCAGCTCTACCCGCACAGCGGAGTCGGGGCTATCAGGATCAGGGCTGCTGAGGCTCACTTTGGCCCTCTTCTTGGCAGCGCTGTTTCGCAGGGAGCGCAGGGAGTTCAGCATCTGTTAGCATCCAACAGAATAAGATATACAGGCAGGGAAACAACAACAAAATCCTATACAACACCAGAGTCTATGCAAAGTCAGTCCTTCTGACCTCCTGCATGTCCAGATTCTCATCTTTCTGACAGTCTCTCCAGGCAGTAATGCTATCAGAGTCCATATTAGAGTCATAGTCCGCCTGCTGGCTGGATGGAGTGTTTGATCTTTGGCCGTCAAAAGAATGAGCTTGCACTGGGGAGATGGAGAAGGTTGCCCTGGTGCTGCTCAGAGCTCGCCTGAACGACGAGGTGGAAGAGGAACTCACGAGGGAAGCACAAAGAGGTCTGGGAGACTGCACACCGAAGAGATCTACCAAAGCAAAGCCAAAAAAAAAAACAAATCAATCTGGAAAAACACAACATTTCTAACTTCCCAGATTAAACCGATCTGACTAAATTACCCTTTGATGTGTTGACTCTCTCTCTCCGTGGGCTTGTTCCTTGTTGTTGAGGGCTGTTCTCTCGTTTGTTGGGCCAGGTGTTAGACATGGATGGGGAAGACTCTGCATGACGGCGGGGAAGTGTTGGAGTAAGCATGCCCCCTGTACGTGCAGCCAGAGGGTAGGAAGGCAGGAGAAAGGAGCCAGGCGCATAAGCGTTCAAGGGGAGAGAGAAAGTCCGCTCTACGCTTGGATTTCTCGTCAGAACTCGTCCTTTGGGAGCCACTATGACATATTACATTCAGAAAACAAACCAATTCATTCTTTGATGCTGACCAATCAACTATAAGCCTGGTTTGTGATATAAATGTATTAAACTTGACTGCTATGCCTGGAAGACACATTAGTAATGAATCCTTACCAACATCTTGGTCGGAGAAGTTTGTTATTTTTAAGATATTTGTCTCAAAGTTGAGGCTTCCACTTCTCCTGAGACCTGCTTTGGTTTCCTTCCTTCTGGGAGACAGGAGCGTCGGTGGCTCAGCAGAACCTAACAAAGGGATATTAAACATATTTTCAGAAAAAGAAAACACAGGCACAAAAAATGAGGATGTCATACAAAACAGATAAAGCCATATTCACCAATAGTCCCTCAAAAGGCAACAAGGATATAATTCTGCAAACTAATATCAATCAGCAGGTCTGAGATATTATGGTTTGATCACCCATGGTTCACACATCAACTGTTCTAAACAGTGATCACTGAAAATAGGATATAATAAATAATTTTAGGGCTTAAGACTAAATTAAAGTGCAACTGCTTTGTTCTTGGCGTGTCCCTGGTAGTTTTAAGGGCTACACAGGCATACCCCTTCTTTACAGAAACAATTGGGACACCCTACCCTTAAAACTAAAGGTGTTATGAGCTGAGAATGAGGGCAAAGGGTGAAGAAAAAAATACTCTTAACTGAAATTATATCTGAAGATCTGAGCATTTACATGATTGGTTATTACAATGAGAAATATAAGATATAAAGGACGAACTGCATATCAAAGTGCAATAATGAAATGGTAAATGACAAATTTAAAGGGAGTTTTTCCTCTCCACTGTCGCTACAAGCATGCTTAGCATGAGGGATTGCATTCGAGTCAATGAGTCGATGCAATCAACTGGTTTTCCTAAGATAGAAAACTTTAATCAATTTGACTGTATGATCTGGTGAACTGTAAAGTACCTTGAGATGGCATGTGTTATTTAATTGGCGCTATAGAAATAAACTGAATTGAATTGAAATCAGACCAGTGGTGCTAAAGTTTCTTATGGTATGACTAGAGACCAGTGGGACTCTTACCTACCAAGCAGCTTGGCACCATACTCATCCCAAAGCTTTTGATGACATATGGAACGGAGACTCCTTTGAGTCAGGATTCTAATCCTAGTAAAAGCTTCTCTAAATTTACCGAAGCTGCAGCTGACCATTATAATTGGACAAGGAGAGCGAAACGGAGAAACAGGAAGCCTTGACACTTACTGAAACTTGGTATGTAGGTTTCTTCCTTCTTGGAAAGTGAGCTGGAGTCCTCTTTTGCAACCTATGAATGTGCAAAGTCTCATTATTCTAACAGCAGCAACAATTGCCAGATAGAGTTCATGTAATTAGCTTAAACAATCCTCAAACATAACAAGGGCATTGGTGTAATTCCATCCTCTAGACTAGACCAATGCATCATCAGATATGGAGCTCAAGTAAGAGATCATGCGATCTGCAGAGCCGCTTCCCCTGTCACTGAAAAGCACTGTTCTCTATATTGTTTTAAAAAATACCCTCTAAATATCAGACACTTTAATGCTTTTATTTATCTATGCATGAAAATCCATAATGGTTAAAGTTATTCCCACTGAAAGGATCTGAAATATACTCATTAGCATGTAATTGAATGCAGAGCATTAAACAAGCCGTGTTTCACAAGCGTGACCCTGTGATATTGCCAATTATGTTTCACGGCCGTGTCGATAAGTGTGCTGTGTGTTACAGGTGTTGCTTGGATACCAACACCCGTGTAAACATAAGCTTTTTCCACAAGAGCTGCAGCTGGAGCACAGTCGTCAGCGTTAAATATGACATACCACAGAAAACACTGTTTTAGAAGGACGCTGCAGTGAAAAATCAAACTCTTGTGTTTGCTCCAACAATACAATGACCTACTTTAACAAAACAACACCCCTGCTCCCGACAGATTCGGGTCGAGTCGAGTTGACTGAGATTGTCACAAATCTAACTCTAAAAATCTGCTCATCTTTGGAGAAACAGCATCAGGTATAGTATCAGGGAACCTGATCTAGTCATTCACAAGTATCTCATCAGAATTTTATATTATTTCCAAGAAATAGTTTTAGGCACAAAGAGGCATTACAGTGACTCATACCCAAAACAGGATCAACAAAATAAGATTCAGCCCTCCCTCGCTGCTGCTCTCCATCCATACTGCACCATGACAAATAGCTGCTATATTTAGGATTTTTGCCCTCAAATTTTCTCCAAGGAACTGCTAAGAAGCTAATGCTGCTTCTTTTGATTCTTGCATTTGGGTGTGACCTTGAGCAAAACCTGAAAACAAAACTTTTAAATACTAATACATGCATTTACTATTACTAATAATGCATACATTATTATTTCAAATAAATAATTAGCATTCAAAGCCTACTATTTTTTTAATAGTGGTTGCATCTTAATAAATTGGGACATTACGGTAAATCAGTCATTTGATTTGAAATAGTGATACTTGTATATATATGTATATATATCCTATATATTATTTACAAATAGAGATATACCGGTACATTCACCATCTATCTGTCACATTTTAATAAGCTTGTATTACAGCTAACACAAATTGAAACTCCATTTTCTCAGAAAAATGTGAATATTACATCTGACCGAAAAACTAATATTATTCACTATACTGTTTTTATGTGTTAGTGGCTTCCATAGTGATGGGAGAGACAACAGTTCTCCATTAAACAGTCATTGAAACCTTCCACAAGATGGCACGCTAACAAAGCTGGTCTCTGTATGAAAGGAAATTTATAAAAAGGTGAGTGGAAGGAAAAATGACATGAATGAACTAAAACTTTAGAATAAAGTAAAGCCTGTTTATGAGGTGACACGCAATGCTGCAGCTGGAGTCTGCTTCAAGAGCCACGAAACGCCGAAGTATTCAGGGCAAGCGCTACAAGGAAATAGCTTGTGTTAAAGCACACCTGAACAGGCGTGGACGTCAGAAACGTCTTTCCTGGACTAAGAAGAAACAAAAAGGGACTGGAAGAAATACTTTTTTCTAATCTAGTTTAGAAATTGAGGTTTTTGAGTGTAGAGAGGCACATAGTTCAAGTTTTTTTATGCGTTTTGGCCTCCACTTTGGTTTTATCAAGTCCAAAATCAATCAGGATATTTTAGAGAAAGAATTTGCAGATTTATTGAGGGCTGAAAATTAGACCAAATAATGTAGACCAGCTGAAAGCGACTATTCAATCAACCTGGGCATCTTTAGTACTTAAGAATCCCATGAAACACTGCGTTGTTAAGGTTATTCATCTAGATTGTGCCCAATCCAATATTGACTGCAAATAATCAAAACTACACAGACATCCTTTTCAGAGGGCAATTTTTTCTGTTAGAAATCATTTTATGCAATTAAATAATGTTCTACATTCATAAGAAGCTGAAGTTTGTGTTTTCACTAACTATTAGCCATAATCATTCAAACTGATATTATCGCTCATCATGATGATAACAATGATTACAAACATAATCATTGTCTGTATTAAAAGTAAAGGAAAAAAATAAACTTAAATTGTAGCAGACACAGTCATAACCCCAGACATGTTGTAACTAGACAGAGAGGTTTTATATCAGCTCATAAATCTAGAGCAGGATGATAGAGCTCACCTGCTCAGAGCCCTTTCCATTAGGTGTAGTGCAATGCTGTGGCTCGTTATCGGTCGATGAGAAGCTGGAGGTCTCCCAGGGCAGCTTGTTCTTCCCTTTACCTGCGCTGACAATCCTCCTCTGAAATGGTGGGTCGTCAGTGAGGGAGCCTAAGCTGCCGTAGCCGCATAACCGATCCCTGTCCTGCTCTGTCCTGTAGCTCCTGGCACTGCTTGTCCGCCCTCCGTTTATCACCCAGTCCAGATCTGCCCCAGACGCATATTGACCTGTAGACCACTGTCCAGGTTTAGGCACCAGAAGACCATACTCTACGATCCCTTCAGCGGTTAGCTTTGGGAGGACGTGCCTCCCTCTTCTCGCCTGCACAGCTGCCATCAGCCCTTCTGCATCTTCATTAAGCTCAACCATGTCCAAGGCTTTCATCAATGGCTGCTTCTTTCCTGTGTCAAGGCAATGGTCAAAAACTGCAAACAACTCCAGGGCAGCATGGCGGACCTTCTTTTTACTGTCTGCTAAATATGGAGCGACCTCGAAGCAAAGCTTAGGAATATTGAAATCTGTTCTGGGATGAGTTAGCATAGCTGCCGTGATGATGTTCAGGACATCTTCCCGAACCCTGGAGTTCTTGTGTTTCAAGTTGCCGATAACAAGGTCCAATACTTGTTGAGGTGGAGTAGTTTTCATCAGCTGCTGAAACACATTAAGGTATTCATTCCTGGTGACAGCACGAGTGTCACCGAGCGCCTTCAGTCCGACAAAAACGATATGCTTGAAAAATTTTTCCACACCCGTATCCAGCTTCTGTATCAGCAGGTTTAAAAGCTGTAAGGCGCCATATAGCACCTTAAAATTACTGTCATCTAGAAGTCGAGGCAGAAAATTGATAAACTCCTCAATGCTCCCAGGTGGGATCGATTTAATGTCCACATCTGAGAGGACGCTTTTAAGCTTCTCCACCCCATTTGTGCGATTCTGGTAATTCTTTGAGTCCAGAAGCTGCTCATGTATCTCCTGGGAGATTAATCCAGGTATCATTATTGGTAGATTTATGGATATGTCAAATCTGAAAATCCAAAAAAGAAAGCACATTCCAGCGAGGAGAATAATGTTCCTCCCCTTTACGCCGTGCTTTCATCTTGAGCAGCTGATGGTGGAGAACTTAGGTCCTGTTGGTCAATCTATGGACAGAGGATTAAAAATCAACAAAGGAATGAACCTCACGGGTGAAATAAAATAAATAATTTTAACCAGATAAAATTGTAAAAATAACAGTAAAATGGACCAATACTTGTATGTAGCGTTCTGGCTATGTCCCACTGACATTACGAAGAAACGGAAAATAAATACTTGCACTTAATAAATGCTCTAAATGACTATTGTCCTGTTTGTCAAACATAGCATCTCCAGACCTCCTGCATTACATTACCGCATTGTCTACTGTATATATGGCATATAGCTATATACTATATATTCTGTATAGTATATTGTATGTTTTATATTGTATATAGCTATAGATTGTGTATTCCTTACATATATAACTAATTTGACTGCACCATCAACACCAAGTCAAATTCACTTTAAGTGTAAAATCTGATTATTTAATAAATATTTTGATTACTATATTAAAAAAAAACAGACAGATGTGTTCTTACTGAAAGTATGTTTAGTAAAGGTTTTTTTTAATTATTAAATCCTCTTTTATGCTATTGACAAAAAAGGGTAATTAAATAAAAAATATAGAAGCAGACCTTCTAAACCTCACATAAAAACAAATCATTACTAGCATTTTCACTGCACTTTAATGATAGAATGCATACATAGTAATATTGCTAATAATTAATTTCAAAATGACTTTCCCACATTTATTCTTAGATTTTATTTTATTAAAAGGGGTTGTCTTCTATTTATATTTAAGTCCTTAAAACTTGAAGGACTTAAAATAGGGGGGAAAAAGCCTAGCGTTTTCTGTTACTGCTGTTATGTTCTCATGTTTTCTTAAATATTGTACAATTTAGAGGATTTTTAAATCATTCTCATTTATGAGAAATTTGAGTTTGCTTTTTTTTTTTTTTTTTTAGCAGCACGAGAACAGCCCAGAAAGATCTAGAAATAATAGATTTAACATACGGAAAGAGGGTTTAATCAAAAAAACATAATATCACCCAAGAAAATCATGTAGGGATCGGTAATAAAGGATTATAACAACAACCACTTGTGGATCTCGGTTGCTACAGTGGTTATAAGAGTCTCCCCTGTTAATGTTCATAATTACACCTAGCTGGTTTAACATTATGTACTAATGCCTGTAGTGAAGCACATAACCGCTTTAAGCAAAGTAATGCAGTTATTATGACCGTTAACCGAAGCAGCGCGTAGCTAGCACGTCGCTCCGCTCATTTTAACCGTGTTATGAGCGGAGTGCCTGGGCGAGCAAAGTTAGAGAGAAAACAGACCTTACATTTCTGCTGGAACTGCTCCTCAACGTTAACCCAAAGCAAAAAAACACACAAAACACCAAAACTATCTCTCAATGGTTCCAGGGTCCAGCTTTTTTTTTCATTTTATGCCGCAGCAGCTCCACTACTGTCAGTAAACGCGGAGATTTCTTCCTTTCTCTTAAGCTGAGGAGGAGATGAGGAGTTGTTGGGAAGCTATGAAGGTATTCGGCTTTAGAGGAACACACACTAACAAACACTATCACACATACACACACCGAGGCAGCAAAATGGCGAATGCATGTCGCAAACGGAGTGCTTCCATGGTGACGCGAGTTGGAGCGCGAGCTCCTCTAAGCGGAAGCATCATCATCATCACCATGACAGAGCTGCAGAGGGATGAAGATCAAAAGCAGCGCAGTTAAATACATGATCGATGATAAAAAAAAAAATAAATAAATAAAAAAAAATGGATAATTTAGTTGACTTTCTCCCCTGAATTATATTTTAATAAGGTACCTTAAACCAAATCATGAGGAGTTAAATGTATGTAGCTGATTTATGGAAAGCGATAAAATACTCCTTTATTTTAGAAACACTAAAGCAAAACAAACTTTAAGTTTCAATATTATTACTTGAAATATAAGTTGCTCTTTTTGAGTTAATTTTGGCCCTTACTAACTTTCCTTTAAGCCATATTGGAACTACATTTGTTCAGTATAAATTGACTCTGTTGAGATATATTCACATCCACATTTATACACCTGTACATTAAAAAAAGTAAATATTTAAACTTTGGATGAGATTAGAATATAATATAAAAGAATGTAAAATCTATTTATTGTCCCACAATGGGGAAATTCTGGTGTTTAAAGCAGCAAAAATGTTATAGAAAAAAAATTGTCACACGAATGTTGGCCTTAAAAAAAGCATAACAATAACATAATAGTTAAGAGCTAAAAAAAAAACAACAACAACAAAAAAAAAAAACAAATGAAATACTGTACAGTAAAGTACAAACAATAAAAATATCATGCACCTGGAAAATAAATAACCAATATACAGCCTTTTTTTAAAAAATTCATTTTTACAGTAATGAATATTTGAAAAATAGCAGCAACATCAGAGATGTGCAAAATGACAGCAGCATGTTATTTTACTGACTAATGTAGAAACATAAAACAATTAGTTTCATATATTTAATTATTTTTCGCTCAAGTTACCCTTTAACTTTGATGTAGACAAAACTTTGCAGCAAACAAGGCAAAATCGTGAGGTCAGTTGTGGTCTGCAAGTCTGACCTCTGTCTAAAAGCTGAGTGTAACTGCTTCATAGACAACCACCAGTAATCTAATATTGCTTACTGTCTGTGTGATATGTGACCTACTGTAAATTGTGTAAAAAGTAAATAAAAGTTAAGTAAATATTAATAAGCTAAGTAAAAAAGTAAAACAACAACAAAAACAACAACTGTAGGCTCGTATATCAGCATTCATTTTCTGAGGATTATATTATATATAAAAAAAATGTTTCTTTCTTTTTGAAGAGACTGCATTTTTTATAATAGGACAAGTTTCTGCTTTTGGTAATTACATTGACCTTGATCTAATTTAGTAAATATTGCAAAGATCATAAGGTCTTGTTTTGTCTTTTAATAACCCTATTGTCTTGAAATTTTGAATTTCAATCTTTATAAGTGTATAATAAAGGGTTAATTTTTATTTTATTTTTTTTTTGCAAAAATGCAACCATAGAAAACAAAAGTTGTTACCATGCAACCAGATCGCGTAAGGATTTTGAATGTTTATTATCTGGAAATAATACATATGATGTAATAATATAGGAATATTCAATATATGGCTAGAACTACCAAAATAAAATCTTTAAATATATTTCACAACCGGAAATCTAGTTAAATATGAGGAAGAGAACTATAGTTTTTAGTTAAGTAAAATTCTTTCAATTATTTAAAACTTAAAACTATTAACAAAGTAATCTAGTGCCTCAGGTAAAATAAATATGTTTTTTACTTCATTAAATTGAGGCAAAATCTACATTTTATATAGTGTATTGTATTTGGTACAAATTGTTATTATCTTGTTTATTTATTTGGAAATGTCGTTATAAAACATTTTCTAAAAGAAAATTTGATTTTGTCTGGAATTTCATTCAGATTCATTTCCATCCACTTTAATTGTGAAAGGTACCGGAAGTGGGAGTTTTGTCCCGATAGCTCGTCATCATAAAAGCTAGTCTTTAGCTTTGTGGCTAGGCTGGTTGGAAGTCGGTTGATTCCTTGTTAGCCTTCTGTGGTCTGCCGTCGCCACTACACATTCGGCCGCTATCTGCGCAAACTACACATTACAGGTTCGTTTATCCCTTTTTAACAACATATATATAAATATATATCTATGTATATATTCCTTAAAGCTAACTGTAACGTCACGTTTTGTATTTGTCAGCCATGTTACTGTATATCAATCAATGATGCAGGGAACACATCAATCCTTGTTTATTTTTAGCGGCTAACCTGTAATGCAATCATAAAATACATGTATACTTATTTTGTTGTTGTTGTTGTTCTGACTGAAACCTGCTGATGATACTGCGGTTGGCTTAGATAAAGGAATCGGTAGAAGAAAAGCTAATTTGCTAGTCTAATTTTACTGTGTTTACTGTATGCCCCTTCCCTGCTAAGGTAGCTAGCGAGGTTTGATTAAGAGGAAATTCCCGTTACATGTTCATGGCATTTGCGTACTGCAATCTGTCAGGCAGTCTAAATGCGCAGCTTTGGGAGCTGGTGATCTGGACCTACCTGTGTCCAGTTTTTCGCCCTTTCTAGGTAATATATTTTGGTTTTTTTAGCAGTGTTAGCATTGGATTTGGAGGATAATGCCTATTTGCCTTAGCTTTTGGAAAATAGCTACTATATTATTCCAGATCAAACGGGCAAAATATACAACATTTCTCTCAAATTTAGACTCACCAAGTCCTCAACCTTTTTTTCACATCCAAAGCACTGTAGTGATTTATTGGTTCTTGTTTCCAGATGGACCAGCAGGACCAGCCCTATATGTTTGCAAGTCTCACACGGCCTCACTCGGAGCAGTTGCTGCAGGGCCTCCAGCTCCTGCGGCAAGATCATGAACTGTGTGACATTGTTCTCCGAGTGGGCGATGCAAAGATCCATGCTCACAAAGTTGTGCTGGCCAGCATCAGCCCTTACTTCAAGGCCATGTTTACAGGAAACCTCTCAGAAAAGGAGACCTCTGAAGTGGAGTTCCAGTGCATTGATGAGGCCGCCTTGCAGGTATGCTTAGAACCAGCAGACTTTAACCGTACCAATGGAGGTGTATTGTTTCACTGACACATTTTGTTCTCTTCTAGGCCATTGTGGAGTATGCATACACAGGGACGGTGTTTATCTCCCAGGAAACGGTGGAATCCCTGCTGCCGGCAGCCAATTTACTCCAGGTCAAGCTTGTACTTAAGGAGTGCTGTTCCTTCTTAGAGAGCCAGCTGGATGCTGGAAACTGTATAGGGATCTCACGCTTCGCAGAAACATATGGCTGCCATGACCTGTGCCTGGCTGCTACTAAGTTTATCTGTGAAAACTTTGAAGAGGTCTGTCAAACTGAGGAGTTTTTTGAACTGACGAGAGCAGAATTGGATGAAATCGTTTCTAACGACTGTCTTAAAGTGGACACGGAGGAGACTGTGTTTTACGCATTGGAATCATGGATCAAATATGACGTTACAGAAAGACAGCAGCATCTGGCTCAGTTGTTACACTGTGTTCGCCTCCCACTTCTCAGCGTCAAGTTCCTCACTCGGCTATATGAAGCCAATCACCTTATAAGAGATGACCATGCATGCAAACACCTGCTCAATGAGGCCCTTAAGTATCATTTTATGCCTGAACACAGACTTTCTTATCAGACTGTGTTGTCAGCGAGGCCTAGGTGTGCCCCCAAGGTGCTGCTTGCAGTAGGAGGCAAGGCTGGACTGTTTGCCACATTAGAAAGGTATGAGTAACTTTATTTAATTAGACTTTCACATATGAGATGCACTGCTCAGGATAAGTAGCTTCGAACTAAAACTTAAAGGATCGTGTTACATGATTTAGCATTATGGATGAATGATTGAATTTCATAACCATGTTCATCTATTCTTCTTTCAGCATGGAAATGTATTTCCCTCAGACTGACACGTGGATAGGACTTGCCCCTCTCAGCGTCCCGCGGTATGAGTTTGGCGTGGCGGTGCTGGACAACAAAGTATATGTGGTCGGGGGTATCGCCACACACATGAGGCAGGGAATCAGCTATCGGAGGCATGAGAGCACAGTGGAGGCTTGGGACCCTGAAAGCAACACGTGGTCCTCGGTGGAGCGTATGGCCGAGTGTCGCAGCACACTCGGGGTGGTGGTCCAGGCTGGAGAGCTGTACGCTTTGGGAGGCTACGACGGCCAGTATTACCTGCAGTCTGTGGAGAAATACGTCCCCAAGCTAAAAGAGTGGCAGCCTGTGGCACCCATGACAAAGTCCCGCAGCTGCTTTGCAACAGCTGTGCTGGATGGGATGATCTATGCTATTGGAGGGTATGGCCCAGCACACATGAACAGGTATCCATCTTAAGAATCTTATTTTAATGAGCAGAAGAGCATGTTACACCCAAAAGAGTTCAGACATGTTTCTACATAGAGCTCAGCTCTGTGTAACCGGTGAAAATGTGAAATCTGAAAACATTTGTGATTAACGCTATTTAGCTTTTAACTATTCTTCTATTAACACTTTATTTATGATTAAATTTTTTTTAATACTAAAATCTTTATAGCTTCTATTTACCTTTTTATTTGAAATGTATTTAACTTACACTGAAATATTATGATGTTGCTGGTAACTTCGTTTTTAATATTTACCATATTCTATTTATTTCTTAACAATTTTAAGATTAATACTATTTGCATCTGCTAAAAAGGGGCTGTTTGTTGTTTTACACTGGCTGTGCAGCACACATTTTTAAGATTGACTCTTCAATCTTGCTGAATTATTAATAGAGCTAGCAATAATGTGACGGATATCAGGTCTTGCTGAGAAAACACACACTAGCTTGTTAATAAATGTGGAAAGTTTTTTTCCAGAAGTGTTGGAAATGTCTTATTTAGAGGGTGCCTGCATGTGTGTGTGTTGTTGATCACTCGAGCCGAGTCCCAGTTGCTTGTTTCCTTGACACCCAAAACCCTGCAGGAGAATGTGTTTGGACAGAGAACCCGTGGGGACATTTTCCTTTTTCCCTCCTGGTTTGTCTGTCCTTTTAAATGTGATGCAAAACAGTCCCACATTGCCAATAGTCTCCTGTTTGTCAGAGCTTTCTAACTTTTGTGGGACTTGAGATTGCCTCAGTAGTTAGGTTTACAATCTTTAGGTGGACATTCATTACGTGCGATTGGTTGCTTCAGAAAAGATGACAAATGGAAGCATAAAAATATTGTAATTTTTTTTGTCTTTTTTTTTAAAGGAAATGTGTATCATTCTAGACCTGAATAATGTATCACTAATATGTCATCATTGCAAGTTGACCGGTGCAAAATTCATATTGCAAGGGTTTGTTTTGGCATTAACTTTTGGTTAATATACTCAAAGTGCTGCAATCGATGAGAGACCTGATATGTTTACAGCAACGTTTAACATCATTGGTCGCATAAATATGTTTTTATTCGGCTCAGTTTTGTGAAGAGTATTAATTTGAGGCTTTGAAAGCTTTTTTTAATTTTTGGTTCTATTTTATACAAATAAATTCAAGTAATTGCAGATCCCTTAAGCCTAACCGCTGAGCTGAACCCAAATCGAGCCTTGTGTTGCTTGACGATTTGTCAAATTTGAGAAAATTTAGAGAAAAAAAAATTAGATCGGAGTCTGGAAGAGTAAAATAGGCAGAGACCCTGTAAATAAAAACATAGAAATAATAAAACAAAATCTGATATGCACTCATGAAACCTGGTGTGAATTTGTTGTCAAAGATGCTTTCGTACTGTCTGAATAAAAGTTGGGCAAGAATGGAGCCTTGAGGAACTCCTATACGATCTTTATTCCTTTAGATTTAAAATTGCCCAGAGTCCAACAAATTTAAACAGTTGGCAGGCAACACAGATGGGAAGTTATAACCTCTATAGTTTATTCATGACTGGTTTATTATGCTGGTGAAGGTTCTCAGGCATCCAGGTCATAGTCATTCCAAAAAAAAAAAAGAAAATTAAAAACATTCTACTGGACTTTATTTCCAAGTTTGAAGACATTTCACATCCTATCAGGAAGCTTTTTTGGTTGAAATTCAGCAGAAGTACATTCTTTCTAAACAGCTTTGCTGTTCCCTTATGGTGACTAGCATTTTTTAAATAAATGTCTGTAAGATAGATAGATAGATAGATAGATAGATAGATAGATACAGACTATATGTTGCTGTTTTCTTATTGTTTGATCTGATTTGCAGTGTGGAGAGGTATGACCCCAGCAAGGATGCCTGGGAAATGGTAGCCCCCATGGCAGATAAGAGGATCAACTTCGGCGTAGGTGTCATGCTCGGCTTCATATTTGTGGTTGGTGGGCACAATGGAGTGTCCCACCTGTCCAGTATTGAGAGGTATGACCCACATCAGAACCAGTGGACAGCCTGTCGGCCAATGAATGAGCCCCGTACTGGTAAGTTTAAACAGTTTAACTGGTGAAACCTAGTTTCACTGTGATGGTTATTTTCTTAGAAAGTTGCATTCTGCTCTCTAAATTACAGGTGTTGGTTCTGCCATTGTGGACAACTACCTCTATGTAGTAGGAGGACACTCTGGTTCATCTTACCTGAACACTGTCCAGCGCTATGACCCCATCTCAGATAGCTGGTTGGACTCCAGCGGCATGATGTACTGCCGTTGCAATTTTGGTCTGACTGCCCTTTGACCAATGGCCCAGCCAGGTTTGACTCAGTAAAACGATTTCCTTTTTTTGTTATCTGCTCTACTCTTTTCCCTACATTCGTTCTCCAGGAGTAAATGCGCACCTAAAAGAACATCCAAGCACTGGCTTGGATGGATGTGCAGAAATGGCTTACTGGTAGGACGGAGGGGATCCCAATCTCACTTCAGAGATAAGTGAGCATGAGGACTGTGCAGCCGAGGAAGGTGGATGGTAACGCAGGCACCTGGATGTTAGTGCTGCTGGACCCCTACGAGAACTTCGAGCCATGTCCCAGAGGATTGTAGAAAAAAAAAAAAAACTGATTGTTTGAAGTTTTTGTTACATTAGCAGACCTTTATGTTCTTTATTTTACATGTCATTAAGTTTATTACTTACGATGTCCAGTTGCGTTCAGAACTATGTTACATTTTTGGAGTTTTCTTGTGTTTTTGTGCGAAAATGCGGTTGTAAGTGTATGCATAAAGGGGGTATGTGCATGTCGGGTGGGTCCTTTTGTTTTGTTACATGCTCGGGTGTAGAACTTGGGTCCGTTTCATGAAGCAGGTTTTCTGAAAACTCAATGTTTTCTAAACCTTAAATATGGAAAATTAGTTTTCCGTTTCACAAAGTGTGTTTCCTCAACCTGTATTTCAGTCACCATAGTAACATTCTTCCAGGAGCTAACCAGGTCGGGAGCAGGTTTGGATCAGTAAACACTGTGTCCTCTGTCTCCACTCTCCAATCACGTTTAATTTCCTGATTTTAATCAGATTTTTGTCATAGTTTTGTGCATTATAAAAAATATATATATAATTCATTAGGTCTGTTACGTATATTGCGTTTTAAAAACAAACACTGCGTGTTCATTTGACTAGGATCTTATTAAAATTGATCAGCACATTTAACTGAGAATTGGATAATTATAGGGAGAGGATTCTACAACTCATCGAAGGGGCTATGAGATTTACTTGTTTTTGGTTTGTTTAATATGAGTGCGATGCAGATAATTTTATTTACTTTTAGAGCACTTGAACTACTGAAATTATATTCAGATTACACATAAATAGATACATTGATTCCGCAGGGGGAAAAGTAATTACCTTAGGATTAGAATTCACTTGATAACAACCTACTGATTCTCCTGGTTCAATCTGAAGTCCTTCTATGGATCTGATAACAGCTAATAACGACCATTTTAGGGTTGATAACATGCGAAGCGTCGCTGCAAACAGCCAGAGTATTTACTGACAAAGAAGACCAAATCAACACAAGGAGGAACCCATGAGATGATGCACAGGTTCTATCTATTACAACAATGTTTTTAGACTTCATTTTCACCTAATGCCAGAAGATTTCACCTAAATGGATACTTTGATCTAATGCCATTCAAAAGGCTATGGCAAGCCATTTTGATATGTAATGGTTTTTGCTGAATATGTATTCACATATCTGGAAAAAATGTTTTCCTTGTCGAAATGAGCTTTTAAACAAATTGACACCCTTCACATCTAGAATACATATTCTGAATGTCTAGAAATTAATTCCGGATCTCTATATATGCTGTCTTTTAAAAACTTCCTCTATTTTTTCCCCCCATTTCTACATTAAAACCTCTACTTCCAGTGTAGTGAAATAGGCCCTTCCTGTTTTCTGTTGTCATGGTGACTCTTCGAATTGGGACTGATAATGGCTTTTCTTACTTGTTACACACGTGCTCAACTCTGAGCGAATCTATTTACAGTTGATTGTACTAATTCGTAGCAGCTGTTGTGAAACCAAAAACTCAGAGTCCCTGACCTTAGGCTAGATCAATTTAAAATTGTGGATTTTAATAGAGTTTGTTAAACCTGCTTTGTGAAACGGATCCCTGAGGCTGAAGCTTCGTGCCGTAACGAGGTCTGCATCCAAATCAGTGCTTCACAGGAAGAAAAAGAGCAAACTTAGAAACTTTATATTTTCCTCAAAGGGCTGCCTTTCTCTTGTGTAAATAGTATAAATGAAATATATAGATAAATATATCCTCTAGTGCATTGCCTGTAAATGTTAATCTGCACTGGGTCACTAATGAGTGTGTGAATGCGTGTGGTTTGATTAATTCATTCTGTCATTTCATAAAAAGTCAACAGATTTCAGATCCAATAGTTGAAAGTCAACTCGGCCAATTTTGTCTACGATAACTGGTGCTATATTTAGGATTCAGGATATTAAGCTGTTTTTCTGGGTTACTGCACGTTGTAGTCGACATATGTTTAATCGTCAGCTCATGTCTACATTTGATGCCAGCATTCACTGTATGGGCATTTAGACACATGAAGTCTTAAACAGCCCCTCACCATGCAATAAAGTAAGTTTAGATAAAAGGGAAATAATCTATCATTTCTTATACAAACGCATCTTGAAAACTGGAATATTGTTAAATAGTAAATCAATGAATTTATTCATTTTCAAAAATATTTTAAACCTCATGGATTTATTACACACAGAGTGTTTGTTTCTATTAACCCTAGAACCTGTAAAAACCTCGAAACAATTCCTCAGAACATTTGAGTTATACTAGTTTTTTGTACCATAAATGAAACTTTTAGCCAAATGCATCCATTTAGTGTGCAGGATTCACTACTTTTGTGGAGGTGAACCGTTTTGTCTAAAGCTAGCAACATAGGAAAGCATGCTCAAATGCTTCTTTATTTTGTTTCTTTGTTAGTTCTATGTGGACCCCTTTCTCTCAGACTTTATCCTTCCACTGAATTTTCCATTACTATGCCAGCATACTTATCAGCCTGTTGAATGCCAGCAGGTTTTGCAGTCTCCTTTTGTGATCTACTCTTGGTCGAGTGTGTAATACTTTATTCAATTCTTGATCCAAACTCTGCAGAAATTCTGTCCGGACGGACATGTTGACCATAAACCAAGCGACTGCAGGGCAACGTCTCAAGCCAGCAGGCTTTCTTACAAATATAACATGTCTGCTCTAAAAAAAAAATCTTTGTAAATGTTACATGCTGTTCTTATGTCTGATTATATTTTCAAATTTTATTTCCCTTTGGTGTAAGCAAAGCTTTTTGAAATGAACGGAAACACTCTGTGTGTGACAGATCTAATTAACTATTTGAATTATATAGGGATTTTTTTTAATGCACCTTTTAGTCTAGAGATTCACCAAATGTTTTCTAGTTTCATTTTCAACTGTAGAAAACTATCAACCATCGCAGCCTCATCTAAGGTGCCAATAACCTCTCCTTCTTTTACGTCTTCAACCTTGAGTATAGAAGCGGTCCCGCAGTGGAAACGTCTTTCCTGTCGACGCGATTGTGTTGTGTTCTTCCATGTTATGTGGCTTTTGAAAGTGAGGCACTGACGTCTGTGCTAGCCAACTTAGTCCAAGCTCCTTCCCCCCATCTCAAGAGAAATCTGTATCCCAGGATGTAGAGGAGTCTCTCCTCCTGTTCTAGGGAGTGTAAGTGTTGCCTGTCTCATTGTTCATCAAGTCAAGTCACTTTCTGTGCGCTAGTGTTTGCACAACTTTTAACCAAGCTTCTCTGCATTGCACTTACCAAACTATATGACACATCTTGTCAGTCGGTTGTACCTTCTCTTCTCATGTAAGCTAAAGGCATTTAGATGATGCAATAAGACTCGTTTTCCTCTTTGGACTGAAAATGTTTTGTGTTACTCTCCTTAAAAAAAGCCAAGGCATCTCAATTTGCTGTAACATAACCCGGCATGGCGTGTGGATGGTAAACAGAACAAGTGAGGGAACCTTTGACCTCTTGCGATTTCCCATCTACACGGGATGTGTTCATTTAGGTCACAGTTCATTGTTTTATGGCTCATTTAAAACTTTTGCCACATCTACACTACAGACTTTCTTTGCCATTTTGCTCTCGTGTCTTTTGTGTCAGATAAGATGTAAAAATGTAATTTCCTCTGCAAATTGGTCAGTTGTTACTAGTGCAACTTTTAAGTTTCCTAATGATTGTTTGCATCTACATAAGTACTTTAAGTCTAAAAAAAATGGTTGAAAAATTCAGTTTGTGATTCTGCGACAATGTTCATAGTTATTTGTGCTTTTCCTGGGTGTGGGCCGAAATAACCATGAAACACTACAACTTCATGTGTAATTTTAAAAAATCACAACAAAAAAGTGATTTTCTTTTAAATAGAAAAGAAGTAACTGATTCTACCACTATTCAAATAACACAAAACATTAGTATTGTGGAATGTATTTGTCAGATCTTGATTCCAGCAACTTACTGCTCTACAAAGGAAAGTTTTCCAAAACACTGTGCAGCACTGAGTGAAAGATAGAAAGCACTGCTTCACCGTAGCTCTGGGATTGCATTAAAATGATGGAAAATGTTGGCGTCATTGAAAACAGAAATTTTTACCCGCTTTGTTCACCTGAATTCAGCCCACGCCTGTTTGTTTTCAAGTTATTTTTATTATTACTTTATTTTCTTAATCTGATGCATACTGTGTTTTTTGTTCACCTGACTACGGTACAATTGAAATCTGCTTAATTTTGTGTTTCCTCCTGTGGGAAATGCAGACAATTATAAATCATTTTAGATTGAAAAATGATGAAAATCTGCAAATATGAATCTGCAAAAAGGAGCGTGTGTGCTTTTATTGTGGAGATCTCACCAGCGTCCTGTTTTTATTTTTTTGCCATCACTCTCACCGAAGTGCTTGTACAAAGAGAACAGTTGGGTGACTTTTTTTAATGAGCTAAAGTCTGCACTCTGCTGTCATCTTTACATTTGTATCTCAGAAGAAGAAAACTCCTGTGAAACCGATGTCAGTGTTAGCCAAAATGACCACTGCTTCTTTTTTTTTTTATTTTTATTTTTTTACATTCCTACTGTCTGTGTTCTCCAGTCTCAACATGTAAAAATATAAAAAATCTAGTGGACTAATGCTGGAAGTCAAAGATTACATTATGTGTAACGGAAACTGTAGCTTTTCACATTTTATCACTCTTTATTTGAAGTCATTTTACATGTATTTTAGTCAGTTTGTGTGGTGCGGTTGTACCCAGATTAAAAAATAAATGCCTGCCTTAAATAAAAGCCATGCATGTTTATTGTTTTTTTTTTATTTCCGTGCATGAATGAGGAAACAAAAAATCAGGTACATATATTCATAAAATATTCATATTTATTTTTATTAAGACAATATCTGCAGAAAAAAAAAGATTAACCACAAGCAGGTCTGAGGAGCTTTCTTGGCAGAGGCACTACGTGATAACAGTAATTTTTAGAGGACCAGAAAATCTGCATTATGCTTAACATTGGAGTTGCAAAACAGTGGAGATGTGAACTTTTCAGCTTGAATTCATTGTGTGCTTTATGTCTTAAAGCTCAAATTAACTAGATGAACCTTCTAAGGTGAGAAATAGAAAAAAAAATTGCATCTAATACCGACTGTTTCAACATTCACACTAATTAATACAGAATAAAATCAACTTAAACAGATTTAAAAAGGCAAGGTGAAATCAGAGCACCAGTTTCCTGGTGATAATCAAACAGATCATTGAAATTGTTCTGGAGCAGAAACACATAATAAAATCCAACTTAACAGCTTTTTTTTTTTTTTTTTTTTTTTAGGTATATACCGAGATTCATCAATGTTGGAAATGTAAAAACTATTTATTGACTGGTTTACAGATTGTGAGGCCGTATATCTCATGAAAAACATGTTACCCTGTAGCATTTCCTGTAGGATTAAATTAAGAAGCAAACATTTGCTGGATGAGACAAAAAAAAGGTTTAACATCAGGGTTACATTAGTGTTTATAAAATTTCTTGAAATGCCTTCTTGTGTTTCCATCTGCAGTGAATCTGATAAACCCACAATAAAGATAACCTGGCCTGGGAGGATTTTCCTTCCCTGGTTAACTGGATGTTTTTTGTTTTTTTTTAGAAAGAGGTAAAAATAACAGGTGAAATCTGATCCAGGAAGCTTATGGCTGCACTAAAAGAGCTGCAGAGATTTCTAGATAGCACTGGCAGGGTTCTGCATGATCTTTGGTGTTTTCTATGGCAGAGTTGCAGGGCAAAAGACCTTTCTACAAAACATGCAGGTGTGGAACTGAAATAAAATTACTCTAAATACCAGACAACTTTAACCTGAAAGATTCAAATGGTTTCTAAACTGCTATAGGTAAAGGATTTGATTACTCGCAAAGGTTTTCTCAAGCTTTAACAGAGGAGGATAAATGACGAAAATAAAAGAAAAAAAGCTGCACTAACAAAGATTCTTAGTTTAAGGTTTCACGTGTTTTTGCATTATTTCAGTTTTCCTGCCAACAGGAATTGTTTCTCAGTTATACTGTACAACATGCACTCCTAAATGATGGTTGAAAAACATTTATTCATCATATTTAATGAGGGGAAAAACAGTCACTTTAAAAAGGGATGAGTTCACTTTTAAGATCCCCCAGATCTCAACCCAGAACTATTATAGTCCATTTTACTCTTGGATTCCAAGCATGCTTCCATAAAATATGTAATTATGCACAACACATTTGCAGTAAGCAATCAGCTAAAACGGACATGAGTAATTCTATCAAAGGAAGCATACTCAGACCATTAAATCGTAGAACAAACAAACAAAACAGATATATAATGGCAAAAAACAGGAATAACAGTAAAAGACAAAACACAGCATGACTGGTGTGTTCTATACGATGCTGCATCATCCAACGGTGACTCAAAGCCTTCACTTATCAGATGCACGGATGTAGACCAAGGAGGACAGCAGAAGGAGCTCTGGCGGCTTATGCAGCAGGATCAGATTATCGCTTCTAAGACCGTCATAGTGCATCCAGCAGCCGTCTATCTGGAAAGCTGCCGAGTAGTGATGCTCCTCCCGATTGAAGAGTGTGGCGCCCTCTAGCAGGTATCTAAAAAGGAGAGTGACATGTCAGATCCTTCTGTCCGAACACAGGCCTGTACTGTAATGCTTGATGTATCAAATGCTTTATGTATGCAATTGTGTGATTCTTTCAAAAGAAATGCTTTTCCGTTGGCCTTCAAACAGTTTTAGTCATTTAGAAAATAATTTGCAACACAATTAACATAACAGCTTACTGTTTGTTGCTGTATATTTATTATTTGGAAAATAGTATAACAGTTGGAGCAGCCATATGTTATAATCTCCTTTACTCTGTTACCCCTCAATCAAATCAAAATCAATAACAAGTAAGTGCCTTTATCAGTTAGAGTCCAGCTTTTCATAAAACAATGTCAGGGATTAATCTATGTAGAAGTTTAAAGCAGTAATCTGCCATTTAACAATATCTCATGGTTCAATCTGTCTACACATTCATACAGAACAACATACCTGGAACATACCATAACCTGGAATAAATGCTGTTACTTTTTTATTCCTGCTTTATAGTCCTTTTTTATATGGTTATACCCAGTTTGAGTTAAGAGTAGTAAATAACTTGCTCCCAGGTAAAGAACCGGTAGGGAAGTTCTGAGGCGCAGCTGCCTTTAAGGGGACCAAACTTAAACATTTAATTACAGCTCTGACAAAAGGAGAATTTATAATAGAAGCTGACAAGATGCCTGTAGTTGGTATGGAGGAGGTGCAGAGAGATGATGAAAGATTAAAGAACAAAATATCAGTCCACAGAGCTTCAAATCTAGTTTGAAACATCTGCAGCTTCAATGGCAGAAAATGGTCATTTTCAAAGGTCATACAAGTGTGATATTCTAATTATCATATGTGCAATATTTATAATACACGCATAACATTATTCTAGTTCGCAACTACGCACTTCTTAGTGTGCTCCATTCAGAGGCGTAGCCAGAAATTTTTAATAGGGGTGGCCATTCAAGAACCAATGTAAACTGAGGGGTGGCCAAAAGCGGATCGGTGCCAGAACTTCAGGGTCCATCTACACTGTTCCAACAGGACCGAGCACACCATCCATATTTTCTAAATAAAGACAAACTATACTTTCCTACAGCCTTTTGATTACAAATAGATGCATATATTTAAACATCCGTGCTGTCTAAACAAAAGGTTTAGTGGACAAAATGTTTGGGGCAAACATCTTTTCCATTGTCATTACTTACCCACCTTTATCAAAAATTGTTCTGCAAAACATTAATATGACATGTACTAATCTTTACATTAAATGGATTTTTAAGTTATTATTAAAGTATTTATCTATGATTTCACTGAAAACTCCTTGATGACTTGCAGAGACATAATTTTCTCTTTCCCCCATATAACACAAAATTAGGCTCTTAAAAGAGCATGAATTCAGTATATATAAACTTTAATGTTAGTATTTTGATGTGCATAATTAACCACAGCGTTTTAGTTGTCAAATTACTATCAATATATGAAAAATTAAAATGTTTAATAAGTTTAAACATTCCTCTTGACGGTATCACTGCTGCCACCTTCTGTATTAGAGGGCGAAAAAATGGTAGGGGTGGCCAATGAGTGACTAAGAGCGGCCATGGCCACCTCTGGACCCCCATCTAGCTTTGCCACTGGCTCCATTACATATTAAATACTAAAATTTATTAAATACACTGGGTCATACCTCTGCTGGCAAAGGGCCAGATGGTAAGGTACGTATGACAGATCCTCTGACCTCCACTGTTGCATGTTGAGGATCACAAAGGGAGGAGGTCCATGGCAGAAAACCCTTTGAGAAAACTCCCTCAGTCCATCACAGCTGTACAGAAACATTCAAGCCGTCAGTGAGGATAACGTTGCAGGACTGAATCTTAGAAGAGAAAAAGTGTCTTACCATAGTGTCTTACCCTAGCTCTGAGCAGAGTAGGAGTTTGGGGCAGAAGAATTCATCCACTGCAGACTGGATGGGGTCTTTGTGAGGAAGCTCGTGAGGAGGGCTGATGTTGATGGTGGTTTTCTTGACCTTCTGAAAGCGACCCTCACAGTCTCTGTTGGTGCAAAGGCTCTCCTGAGTGGTAGACATGAGGTTCTCCAGGTTCTCGGTGAAGTTCTCATGCTCATTCCCAAACAGGTCGATCTCTAGGGCTGCCTGGTGGATCTCTGAGCGGTACTGTCTCTTAGACATCCTGTTCCAGATCCACAGCATCTTCACTGTGGTGTAGTCACAGGAGTCCATCAGGTAGAGGAAATGATCCACAAACTGCTTCCCGAGGAAGACTGCCAGCTCCCTGTGGAAGCCCTGGTTGTCTCGCAGGATCACATACAGGATCATGAGGAAGCCATCAATGGTGCATGTGTTTTTCAGTTGGACCTCCACATACAGAGGGATGCAGGATATGGCCTTCCGCCCTGCCTTAATGGCGAAGACGCCCCCCCAAGGAAGCACGGGCCTCCAGAAGGAGCGATCCTCCTCGTCATTGTTGTTTATGGAGGCACGAATCTCCTCAAAAAGTGTTTTAGACCTAAAGAATATAACAAAAATTCATAGCAGTTTAGCTATCTTCGGTTTAAGGCGCAGAGATGGTGAGTGGTTGGATCTGTGTGACGTAAACAGAGTACGTGCAATCTAAAGAATATCCTCCAGGGAACAGCAGGAACCTGCTAATTTAAATGTTTTCCGTCATTTTTTAACTTACCTCTCGGTTTGGAAAGTTTTCTCCGCGTAGGAAAATCTCGTGAGCTCTTCGATCTCGTTTAAAACGCCGCTGAATCTACTCTCCATAGCTCTCCGTAATTCGTCATGTCTCCCGTCACGCCTGAAGCTCGGTAAAAAAAAAAGCGTCGAGTTATAATTTCTCGCAATTTCTGGTGTAATTTCACATGTGATTTCTATTAATGAACCCAAAACAAAGCACCGCCGACGTCATTTGACCTACATAAACACTGCTTTGCCTTTTTGACGACTTATTACATTGAATTAGCACACTGCTGCCCCTGTTGGTCATCTGCGACATTACGTCCAAAACTACCCCCACCCACACCTTCCATAAAGCGCCGCTATTGGTGGAGAGGTCTGTTTGGCGTTTTCACTCAGGTATTTTATTGGCTTGCAGGAATTACGTCAGTCACGCCCTTCACATGTTCCTTCCTTCAATAGCATAGCATGTAGGCTATCACAGTACGCTAGAATCGCCGCCATATTTAGAGTGTCCCATTGAAAAACTAAACAAAACAAAAAAAACAATAAAGCAATAAAATATCTAATAAAATATATTTTTGTTGTTGTTCTTATTACGTATGTTTCTGTAAAGAGATCTAATGATAATTAAACTGATATCATTATCGTTTGTAGTATCTGCTTTTTTATATATTTACAGCATTTTTTATTATTATGTTTGAGAAATTCATGCTTAGGAACAGAAGTTGAGTAAAAGCAAGGAAAGTTGTATAAAACTTAGATAGTATCTCATTATAATGAGATAGTATACCATTATTTTGAGATGGTCACTTTGTCATTATTTTGAGCTGGTATCGCATTATAATAGGATAGTATCTCATTATTTTAAGATAGTATCTCATATTGAGATAGTATCCCATTAACAGGCTTCCATAAATACAACAGAGTTAATTGGTGTCTAAAAAAAATTATATATATATATATATATATATATATATATAAATTCAGTGAGGTTTGTATTTTTCTACAATATCCTAATATAACATTTTCTCAAGTGGTCGTTACTGCCGTTGTTAATGTTGTTTACAATTATTAATAAAGAAGCCTGTCGTTTTTGCATCATAAGGAAAACTTTCCAATCGATTCGCTTGACACACTTGACACTCACAATATGGCGGACGCAAACTATTTATTTGGAGCAACCAAGCTCGCGCGGCTTTCAGGTGAGTAAGGCTATTGGTCAGAACACAAATCTAATGATTTAAAGTGCCAATTTGATTGGCCTACACCGAATGTAACGCCTCTCCTCGTGTTTTCAGTGAACTACGATATGTCTTAGGCGGTATTCCGGAAAGTTCTACGCCTATTTTTCAGCGTTACTCTTGTGTTTGCGTAACAATCCGGCGCAAGTACAAGCCAGCTACTAAACTAGACTAGTCCCACCACGCTGCTCTTCTTGTCAGATAGCGAACCTTCCCTGGTCACCATCACGTCGGACACAGACAGACCGAACATGTCAGCTCAAATCATAAGCGGAAAAGAAGTTTCAGCGTAAGTATGATAATTTAAAGTAGAGTGTTTAGAAATTTAGTGTGATCAAGAGCTACACAACTTTTTTTGGCTAATTACGCTGCTAACTTGTTGAGTTATAGTAACACTGTACCATATGATTCTCTGATCAGTTCGATTCATTATCCAAGCTTTTTATTGTTCACTTTTAACTAGGCTTGTCCTGGATATAGAGACTCTATGATGCATTATTTTTTCCTTTTATGCATTGTTTTGTTTTTTGTGCATTTGTTTAAAGTGCAATTTATTGTGCATTTTGCAGCATTATGCAAGATGTGTGGTTGTGGTGTGATTTGAGCTTTGTCCCTTTGGTCCACAGACCGACCCCGAGTGCACCAAATGACAGAAGATCACGCATGAGTCACATTTGGACATTTTCTTTAGGGATATTAAATTAATGAGATTAATCTCTATTTTCATTTCTCACATGCAAAGGGATGTGTATTTTCTTATGCAGCAGTGTGGAAGAAATTTAGCTGCATGTGCCTGTCACAAGACCTGGAAAGTTGCAGCCTATTAACCTCCCCACACAACATTCATTAGTTGCTTGATTCAGTAACAAACAGCTATTCTTCTGCTCTCCGTTCCATAAAGAGTTGTTTACTTTGAAGTTTGATAGGATTTGTTATATAATCTGGCTGCATGTTGAATGCATCTTGTGTGCAATATATTATGACTGCTTTTAGTTGTCGATATATTTGGAAATATTACACAAAAAAAGTAAAAAAGAGAGAGACACAATACCTGATTTGATTTATTTCCTGCCCCAAAACAACATACTTTGATTTAAGTTCTACATGCAATGGATGATGGCTTTAATTTTGTAATATATGCACACTTAGATCAAACATTCAATGGTTGATCAGCATACAGTGGCTCTTAGAATAGATCGTGATGACCAGAAGATAAAGTCCAGTTCACTTTTTTCCAATCAACATATCAAACCCTCTGGTTGTAATTTACCCTCTCATTCAACACTACAAGGTGCAGGAATGTGTCCCTGTATTCAGACTATAAAACAAATAAAGATAAAGAAAAGACAGGAACTTAGATAAGACAATGCTTCTATAGTCTTTGTGTTGTGCAACCATGATTGGTAATTGCAGAGTGGAAAATCATTACCCCTTCAGACGCAGAATAGCTAAAATGCATCTATCTGCTTGGGAAATCTGTAACAACTCAGAGAAATAAAATATGTTAAGAGATGAAACACCCTTTTATTGTCTTGTTTTCTCAGGCAAGTGAGGGCGCAATTGAAGAAAGATGTGGAGCAAATGAAACTCAAGGATCCCAACTTCCGGCCGGGTCTGGTAGTTTTACAGGTAAATAGAAAGCAATTTTATATCCCACTATATCCCTGTTAACATTGTGACCCAACAAACAGACTCCGTATAGAAGAATAAATATGAATAAACACTGTGCCCATGTGTTAGCTAGTACAACATGAGTTGATGCTGTGATGCTCTGGCAGGTTGGAGATCGTGAAGATTCAAATCTGTACATCAGCATGAAGCTGAAGGCAGCAGCAGAGGTGAGTTCAGAGAAGTAATAATTATTGGTGCTACAGATTTGCATCAGTCAGCTGTCATACACTTTTAATATGACATGTCTAAAACTGTTTAAAATTAGTTTTTTATTTGCAGATTGGGATAAATGCGACACATATGAGACTTCCTAAGACTGCGACTGAAGAAGAGGTAGGATGGGGTTTTGAGTTCAAACCTTGCTCCCACAGACTGCCAGTCTGGGTTCGTTAGAAGACCCTTAATCCCACACTGCTCCGCGGGCGCCGCACAATGGCAGCCCACTGCTCCCCAAGGAGATGGGTCAAATGCAGAGTTCATTTTGTTGCTCTGTACTTGTGACTGTGCAATGACAATAAAAGCTGAAAAAAAGCTATTTGAGCTATTATTAATAAAAAAAAAAATATAATTTTATTGTCCTACATACAAAATATCTACTGTTTATATTAAGAATTTTCAAAAATGACAAAAAAACGTATAACCTCTATTAGAACCATTATGTTCAAATGACAAATTGAGTTTCTATTACTCACTGTAGTAGAAGTGGGATAATAGAGATTGTTAATTATATTGTTTTTTATTTTTTTAAATGTTTTTTATTAGACTTCATATCCTAAGTGAAAAAATAAAATTTTCCACCTCTGAATCTGTAGATTAATTTTAATGTTGTACATATGGTGCAACCTGTTGCTTGTTACAATAGGACTGAAATGAGCTTCTGCTTGCAGGTTCTTCACAGCATCAGAGAAGTGAACGAGAACTCATCAGTCCACGGTCTCATAGTGCAGCTGCCTCTAGATTCAATCCACAAGATCAACACAGAAAAGGTCACTAATGCCGTGGCACCGGAGAAGGACGTAGATGGGTAAGAACATTCTATATTATAAGAATGCTAAATGGGATTTATGTAAACCCTTAACATGTTTTTATTGGTCTTTTCACAGATTGACCAGCATAAATGCAGGGAAGCTATCTCGTGGAGATCTGGGTGACTGCTTCATCCCTTGCACCCCAAATGGCTGCATGGAGCTGATCAGACAGACAGGTTAATGAAGCCATGAAGAAATCTAGTATTAAAAGATATTTTCACTGTTTAGTTATACAGACTGCATTCAGAGAAGTGGATGTTGCCTAAATGTGATGATTTTGGGTCTCTGCAGGTGTATCTGTGGCAGGGAAAACGGCTGTGGTGATTGGTCGCAGTAAGATTGTTGGTGCACCGATGCATGATCTGCTGCTGTGGAATCATGCTACAGTAACCGTCTGCCACTCTAAGACTGCAGATCTAGCTGCAGAGGTACATTTTCACATTCTAGCATGTTTATTATTGCCTTTCACAATGTCACCTTCGACTTTAGGCATGCCAGTATTTATTGTTTAAGCTGAGCCTTTAGGTCAGCTCATCTCTACATCACATCTCTGTACTTAAAAGAGATCTCAATACTTTACTAATAAATGCATATTGCACATTCTAACTTTTTGTTATTTGATGGACTTGTTGACATCACTTTATATTTACAGAAATCTTCTTCCAACTTTTCAGCAGCAACTTTTTATAGAAAACAGAAATAAACCTCTTTTCCTTAGAGAGCTCACTGCTGACCTCTTGTGGTGATTTATTTAATTTTTTTTAACTTGTAACCTGTCTGTTTGTGTTCCTATCCAGGTGGGTAAAGCAGACATCCTGGTTGTTGGTATTGGAAAAGCAGAGATGGTGAAAGGAGAGTGGATCAAAAAGGGAGCGGTGGTTATCGACTGCGGGATCAATCACATTCCAGGTAGATGTTATAAGGTACAAAATGGTTCTGATATTAAGTGACAACTACGATTTCTGGGTCAAATGATTTCTGTTTTTTAGATGAGACAAAACCTAATGGGAAGCGGGTAGTGGGGGATGTACATTATGCCTCAGCCAAGGAGCGTGCAGGTTTCATCACCCCTGTGCCAGGAGGAGTGGGACCAATGACTGTGGCAATGCTGATGGGGGTAAAATCATAGGCTTTTATACAATTCAGAAATATTTTCCTACTTTTCTTTGTATTAAAAGTGCGTGTCTGTGTTCTTTGATGTGGTTAGAATACAGTGTTGAGTGCAAAGCGCTTCCTTGAGAGCCATCAGCCTGGGAAGTGGGGCATTTCTTACACCAAACTCAACCTTCAGAAGCCCGTTCCAAGGTTTGTGTCTCTCTCAGTGTAGCTTTTTCACCTTCTACAGAAGTATTTATTAAGTATTAAGCACAAATTATTAATTTCTTCTAAAGCTGGAAGAAAATAAATCCACCAAATTTTTTAGATAAAGTGTACGTTTTTGTATTCA